TTAAATATATAATAAATAATGACAACAATATTTTTGGCATTTGTTGATTCTGCTTTTCTTTATAAATTATACCTGCTTTTGAAAATAGCTGCTCACTATACACACTGGAGATGATAAATACTATACACTACCTGGAGATGATAAATAAATCTTAGCAAATTCTGCTAGGCTTGGATATTATTTTGCATTAGCTGACCATCATTTGTAAGGGTCGGCTTTCCAAACTAGGTGAACAGTTTTTATGAATAAATCAATTTCGTTTGCTGTAGAACTTTTCTGTTCGACATCTTCATCTATATAAGTGTTTCTGTAATAGCTTTCTTAAACTAATTCCATAAACTATTGTGTATTTCAATTGTTTTACCATTTTTTTTCTTTTAAGGTACAGATCAGTCACCATCGATGCTTCAAGAAGCTTCAAAACTTTTTTTCAAAGCTTTTAAAAGAATATTTTGTTTTGCTCTTTGTGTTTATACAAAGAGCAAAACAAAAAAAATCTTTTAAAAGCTTTGAAAAAAAGTTTTGAATTCCAGCATGTGCTTCTGTCTTGTATTAATTGGTGGTCTGGCAGTTTGAGTTCTTGGTGAATGTATTTTAGTTTATCTTGTGCTATACTAGAGTGGCTAGTAATATTTAAAGGAAGTTAGGGATGATTAGGGATGGTTAGTGGAAAAAGTGGTTAGGAATGGTTAGTGGATGGAATGGGTGATAATTCGTCTTGCAGCAGCTATCATCTGTGTTATTTCTATTTGAGAATTTTGCACCTAATCTACCAACTAATTCAACATGAATAGATCAAGTGCATAGGTCCATGAAAGTAAAAGATGTTTTGAAGTTAGCTAAAGACATAAAAAGAAAAGAAAGATAAAAATGTTAGAAAACAAGTGCAAAATGCAGAGAAAAAAAATGAAGAAAATAAAATATAAAAAGAATGCACTAAATAAAAAAGTGTACAGAATGAAAAAGTGTACTGAAAACATATGTAGAGTAAAAAAGTTGTGAACTGAATGCTCAAAGTACAACTATATTTTGAAACCCGAATGCTGCAAGTTAGCATGCTGTATTGATGGGAAAAATTTACAACGATTTTTCCTCCTGCAGCTTTGCAAAGAACAGCAACAAATAAAAAAAAAAACATTTTCAATTTACTTCAGAAAACAACAAAGAATTTATGAATATTAATAAAATTTAAAAAAATTTAACGTTTATAATTTCATGCAAACAATATTCTAGTTGTTTTATTTGACTTTTACTTTCTAAATGCACCCCAAAAATCTACTACTGAACTTGGCTCAACAGTATGTATGTGTGTGTATATATATATATATACATATATATATATATATATATATATATATATATATATATATATATATATATATATATATATATATATATATTTATATATATATACATATATATGTATATATATATATATATATATATATATATATAAATATATATGTATATATATATATATATATATATTTATAATATATATATATATATATATATATATATATATATATATATATATATATATATATATATATATATGTATATAATATAAATAGACAAACAAATGCAAAATGCGGTAGTGGTGTAGTGGTAGAGCGCTCGCTTCATAAGCAAGAGGTTCCAAGTTCAATCCTCACCATGTCCCGCGCTCAACTCGTTTCTCCGCGCAGCTGCCTTGTTTGTCAAGGTTTGTGTTTTGGAGTTATGGATTTGAAAAAGGGTTATAATCACAAATAAGTAGCCTCCTCGTTTGTATTGGTCTTCTCAGCCTAGAGGAGGTAAATTGACAAAAAAAAAAAAAAAAAAAAGCATTGCAAATGTCAGCTGTTTTTTTCAATGCAATTCCAACAACAATTTGATGTCATTTTTTTAACAATAATATAACATTTTTTTAACAATAGTATTTAATAATAATAAACAGTTTGCATAGATACATTGGGCCAATGTAAAACCACAACTTGATTGTTTTTATGATTTAAACTAAATGCTGATCTAATGTAAATAACCCAAATAATTAATGTTAATTCAATCTATATGGATTAAGGTTGACCCAATGTATATAACTCAACATTAATTCAAAGTATATTAATCAAGGTTGATATAATGTTTACAAACCAACATTGCAAGTCCAAAATTATATATAATCTATTGTTATATATATTATATTAATTATTATAACCAAACCTTCCGAAATAATAAAATATAAAACCATATCAAAACAAACATCATTATAAACATAAATGCTTACAAGTTACATTTTTGTTACTTTTTAAAAAATTTTACAATGCAAAATTTTGAATATAATAACAAAGGTAAAGTACAATGATGTGCCAAATAAAAAATACAATGTTAAATCAATGTAAAATATTACATTTTGTTAACTTAAATTGCAACATTGTGCCCATGTTATATTTTTGTTGTTATTAACATTGCATTTAATTCAAAAAAATAAAAACAATGAAGGCAACCAATGTTGGGCCAACATAACTTGCAACATAAATTCTAACGTTTTAACAATGTATGTGTGCTTGCTAGAGTCAGACGTTCAAATTTTTATAGTATTTTTACTGAAAATATTGCATTAAAAAACTAGAAATTTTCTAAAAGTCTCAAAACAATTACTTTAACTTTTTTTTTTCAACATTTTCACTTCCAAAAAGGCTGCAAGCAACCACTATAAGAGTTAAAAGTTATGGAAGAGAAAGTATGAAGTTTTTAAAGCAAGATAACGATTGACAAATGACTTAAAAGATTGCAAATTATATGAGTCTGGAAAACAAGATAAAAGAAGCCAATTCCAAAGGACTGATGTATAAGAAACAAAACTAGGCAAATAAGAACTTTTGAAGCAATTAGGAACAGTTACACATTCAACTTAATTGAATGAAGAGTAACACCAGAATGAATTTTAGTAAATACCACATAAGATTTGTAGAAAAGAAAAAGAAAATCTTTCTCTTTTCTACAAATACTATAATGATCACCGCTCTAAAGAGCTAGCATCTTATGTGGCATTTACTAAAATTCAACATTAGGACAATATTATAATGGTTGGAAATTAGCTACAAGAGCAGGTCCAACAATGCTTACAATGTGTTTTTTGCACATTGTCTAAAAGAGAAAAATCTTGCTCCAGATATGGCAAAAGTATTTCATACAAGGACAGATTTAAGATTTATAGAGATAAGGAATAGAATCAAAAGTATGAGTCACGCACAATAAAGAGATGCAACCTTAGCAGATGCTAATTTTGAATTGGATTTGATACATGGTTTCCAAGAAAAGTAAGAGCTAATCCTAAAAGATGAATGGTAGATTAAAGGATCAGAAACAAGACAAAAGTTGAGTAGAGAAGGTAAATGATTCGGTTTGTCTGGAAAGAGAGTTAGAAAGTTGACTCTTTGAGTTAGAGATTGAGAACGGCAAAATTTGAGGGCCTTAACGCCTGCAGAGTCACTGATACTAGATTCAAGCCATTTAGTGTGTATTAAAATCACCAACAACAACAATATTGGCTAGTGGATAAAGACAGAGAGCACAGTCAATTTGATCAGAAATAGCATAAAAAGAGTGCAGTCCTGAGATGAAGGAGAGGGATATATAGAACAAAGAGATTAGGGATAGAGTGAAGTAGTGCTAAACAAAGCCACATAAAAAAATGGATTCAAATCTAGTTTCCTGACAAATGAGTGAATTCTTACAAATAAAAATGTCCATGCCAAGCATGTGACTATTGGAGTCTTTATGAATTAAAGAAAGATAACCATCAACACTAAGAACACAAGATAAGACAGTCAAACTCAAATTAGTTTTACAAAGAGCAAGTAGGTCTGCTAACTTTGCAAAAGATTCAAAAGTAGAAAAGTTACTATGAAGACCACGAAAATTAGAAAACTTGGTGATGACAATGATTTTATGTGTTTTATAGTTTTTGGTACTTAAGTAATTTTTGAAATTGTTAAAGAACTTGACTCAAAGCATAGATAGAACTCAATACATTTAATAGTACAAGAAAAAGCCTCATTATTTTTAATAAACCCTAAGCCCTAACAAAAAGCTCCAGATGTAGCTTTGACAAGGTGCACCAAAAGTATGAACAAGGACACCATCCAAGCGCAACATGGCACTGCTAGGTCTCTGATATTTTACCGCTGTTGGTGGAATCAGTCTCTCTGAGAACTACTATAGAGTTTGGGAAACCTGACTACCAGCCGGTCTCATAACCATAAAACTTAGTTTTAGAGCTGTGCTTTCATTAAGAGATAATAAAATGAGTTGCTCAGCAATAAAAACAGAGACACAAGTCAAACCCATAGATTGAGTCAAGAAAAATCAGTATTCAACATCTAAACTGGAAACAATGTATTATAAATACATCTGTGCCAGCCTAATAGATGAAGAATGGATGCGAGACTGGTCAACAGATGTTTACCCCTTAAGTCTATGCCTTGGACGCCTTTTACAAGGCAGTAGCCGGATACATTTAAGATCTGCACAAGGTAAGTATTTTTATCGAGACACCATTGTTACTTAACCAAGAGTCCCAAGGCAAGGATGTTTTAAGTCGAAGTTGGCTTCTTCTAGCATTTACCTAAAAATAATTATTCCACAAGGCAGCAGACTTGAAGCTGGTTGTACTGGGTTACACTTACCCAGTAGTCTGATAACCTGACTTGACCTAAAAAGCTATAAAAATATTTAAGTTTTTTTTTATTAGCTTAGACATTCAAATACAGAAAATTTTCATTCTCATACTTATAATATTTGAAAAGGTTCAGCTGCAGCACATAATGTGTCCATTTAGTTTTGGCATTTTTGTGATGCATGTACTTGTAATAAGTTCAAGAAAATTCAGGCATAAAATAGTTGTCATTTTTTAAAGAAACAACAAAAAGTTGAAAAAATATTTATAAAGTTCTTAAAAATTTTAAGATATATAAAATAAAGAAACACATATATAAAATAAAGAAACTTAAATATACCGATTCTTTCATAAGTAGACTTAGAATCTATATGATATCCCAAACCAGCAGATTCCAATCTTTTTATCATATTTTTCGAATGTCTTAAAAAATATTATTCAAAATTTTTTTGATCAATTAAAAAATTTTAATTATTTAAACAAGATTAAATATTAGTGTTGCAAATTTTCTATTATTTACAACTTTTAATAAAACTTTTAATTAAACTTTGTATAAAAAGTAAAATTGGTGTTTTAATTAATATACTTCCTATAAGGATTACAAGCAGCAATTATTTCAAGTCCACATTCAGCTAATCCTAACGGTTTACCATCTGCTCTTTTATCTACCATTATTTCTTTGATTAGTCCAATTGCATCAGATGTATTTGCTTCATCAAAAAATAAAATTGTATTTAACTTGTGATTTTTATAGTTTTCTCTTGCTAATTGTTTTGCTTTTTCAATTCTTTCAAGTATGTCTTGATGAGTCACACCTCCATGAACCTTTTTATCATATTAAAATAAATTACAACCTCAATAGCAATCATAATCTGTATGCATATGTAAATATATATATATATATATATATATATATATGTATATATATATATATATATATATATATATATATATATATATATACATATATATATATATATATATATATATATATATATATATATATATATATATATATATATATATATATATATATATATATATATATATATATATATATATATATATATATATATACATACATATATATATAGAGAGAGAGAAGAGAGAGTATGTGTGTATATATAAGTATATACTCACACATACTTTGTTATATTACCTTAACAAGTAACATGTTTCGAATTCTTTTGTTTCCTGCTCGAAGAGCACACATAAACTTAATCAATTTTGTTTTACCACACCCTGTTTCTCCCATCATTATAACTGGAATAACACAGCTAAAATAAAAAACAATAAACTTCTTTAAGTTTTCTCATACAATTTAAAGCCTTCCTAAAGTCTTCTGTCATTCATTTTCCTACTATTTAACTCTTATTAATTTAGAAAAATTTGAACTGGACTTTATTGTTATTACTATTTGTTATTTTAAGTTCTCCTGACTCAATAATAAAGTTACGGAAAGGTATAAGGTAACTTAAAACTTCTCTGATTGGTATAGTTTAACAAGTGTTTATCTTTACAAATGTTTATTAATATAACAAATATTAATTGTATCTTCTATATAATAATGCCAAACTTAATAGTTTTAATAGTGTCCCTTGGAGCGTATTTGACACGAAACCCTTCGCAGCCATTGCAACCGAGGAATTGGCAAGAAAGAGTTGCAGCACTATAAGAAAACATGAATGAATATCTAACATACGTAAACTTTAAACTAAGTAATGTTAAAGCATATGTTAAAACATACTGAAAAAGTTATCAAGTTTTACAGTTTGATTTTCACTTGAAAATTACATTGCGTCAAGCTATCCTTAATTTTGATCTATAACATTTTTTCCCTCATAAAAATTATTACATTATTTTAAAAAATCTACGCCAGATGGTATGCCAGTGTAGTTCGAGTGGATAACACGTTGAACTTCTGAAAAAAAAACTAGAGGTTTGATTCCTACCAATGGCGGCTATTTTTTTAATTTTTTTCGATTTTTTTAAATTACAAAATAACTTTGAAGTTTTATAAAGATTATATACAAACATATGTAACATAACGATATTATACATTTTCACAAAAGAAAAGATTTTAAGAAAGCTAAAACTTCAAAAAACATCAAAAAAAAACAAAAAAACATCACCAGGAGAAAAAGTTTGTTGCCTATCTATATCCTATATCCTAATAAGCTTCGGATGGTCTGAAAAAAAAGTTGTCTGAAACTTAATAAAGAAAAAACTTAACAAGACAGTCCTGCTACTCCAGAAGATGCTGCTGTGGAGACAAAAAAAAAAAAAAGCCCATAGCTAGATAAAACTTTAAAACTTTCTTTTGACAATTAAAAGTTTATTTTGCTACATTTACTTTTTTACTATAAATATATGCAGTAACTATTTTTCAAAACGCCGTAATATGCTTATGACGTATTTAAAAAAAAACACAATTAAAAAAAAATTGTTTGGAAAAACTCTTCGTAAAACGCTTTTTGAAACAAATAATTTTTATTTAGTTTTTTTTTCTTTTGTGCAACTTTCTTTTCAATAAATTCCTTTACCTTTTAGAATATGACCATTTTTAACAATGCTATAGAAAAAATATCAACAAATTGATTTGTAGTATTTCAATTATATTAATTAGATTAAACTATATATATTAAATTATATGTTATATATATTAAATTAAATAGATAAATAAATTGATATATTGTTAATACATGTGTATTTTTTTTTTCGAAAAAACTTAGTGATAAAATAGACTAATTAGAAAAGTCGTTGAGTAGAATGCTAAGAATATATTTATGGCAGTTATTGTTGTTAAGGGTGATTAATAAGCAAGTAAATTAAAAGTTAATCAGGGTTTTGAATAAATTATAAACTAATCAGGATATTTTTATTTGTATACCTAATAAATAGGAAGATAGCATATAATTCAGGTAGATATTGTTTTCACTTTTTTTCTTTGATATCTTTGATATTAAAAAATATGACCATTCCAATAATTATGGACGGTAATGTATTAATCTTTTATTTCGGAACCACAATCTGTAATGATTTGTATTTTATCTATGTGAACGAAAGTCTATGCAAATATCTAAATATGTAAACTTTAGGTTCTTTAATTAGTAATCAGTATTATTATAAAGTAGATGACATCAAATTTTATCGGTTTATTTTTACTTAAAAATTTCATTGCGGCAATATCTATTTATTTAAAGCATTTATATGCTGTTTTATAAAGTTTAATAAGTCTTCTGTTTATTAAATAGTGTTAAAAGATGATTTAGCATGCCAAAGCGGTTGAAGTGCTTTGCTTAGGTTCAAAACCTTTTGCTTACACAATTTTTTTAAAAATCTTTTCCAGTTTTCTAGAAAACAATGAAAAACAAGTTTTAAGGCCTATATATGTGATACACATTACATATAAATAAAGATATTATATACTATAACAAACCAAAGATAGAGAATTTTTTAAAACGTTTTTTAAATTTCTGAAAACATGAAAATGCTCTTGGAAATTTGTTGCGCATATATCATGATAGAGAAACTTATGTTTTAAGTAAGTCTGCAAGTTCAACACACATTAAATTTTCTTTCTTGGTTAAAAAAAAAAGGTTTTACATGTAAACTGAAATTTTAGTTAAAATTAACTGGTCAAGAGTCCTAATAAGTATGGAAAGGTATGAAAAAAAAATTATATTCTGAAACCTAAAAAAAAATTTAATTACTCCAGAAGGTGAGAAACAGAAAACCCACAAAATGCTAAAATTACGTCATAATTTTAGTTTCATCTAATCCGGTAATAGAAATGCTTAAGTATTAAGATATAAATATTATATGATTATTGTATTACGAAATATACGCCAACTCTTAAACCACTGTAAAACTACCTTGCGGTTATCCACCAAATCTGTTAATAAAAACAGCTTAATTAATAGATTTAAACCATCTGATTTTTGTATTATAATATGTGCGCCAACTGTACTCTAAACCCAACGATTGTAAAGCAAGAGACAACAAGTACGTTTCATCTACAAGTTTAATTATTGTAATATTCTTTTAAAAAATTAATCTTAATTTATAACTAACATGTTAATATGTTTGAAGTTAATATGTATTTGACCCAAGAATAATCATTAAGATTATATTTTAGAAATCAGCAGCCAAGATACAGAAGGTTAAAGTATTCTTTTTATTTTGTATAACATTAATTAATTAAAGAGATAAAAAGAGATGATACGTCAATAATACTGAGAATTTATCTTATTATTTTATTAAGAGATTACATTGAGATAATTTTGTATATCTTTCGACAACGAAGAAGTTTCTGCATTTTTTCGAAGTAAGCCACTAATATATACTACATATAGTAGCAGTTACATATGTTCTAAAATTGGCAGAGCTGTACTTGATTCACGTGTGAATAAAACGATTATTTTAGCCGTTTTTAATTGAAATCAACCATGATATGCTGCCCTCCCCTAACCCCGTGAATCAAGCACACCACCTTAAAATTTAACTAAAATTAAAAATATATAAAATAGTTTTTAGAACTTTAAAAGGATGGACCCGAAACTCAATTTATGTTTATTCCACTATTTTGATTGATATTTTTGTATAGCTGTGAACCTTAAAAATGGGTATAAGCTTTATTTAAGGTGTTTAAGCTAAAATTTTATAAAAAGTTTAGTATTTAAAATTTTAAATACTAAACTTTTACGTAATATGAAACTTTTTGTCATGAGATTCGACTATGTCATGAAAATGTGCAATAGTTTTATAATTTAAGACAAATCATGTATATAAAATATGTTTAATTGAAAAAGTGAATTTTGAAAATTAATTTTGTCTATATATATTAGATGTTCAAGAGATCAGAGCTGAAGAGCTCTTGCCAACTAAGCTAACTTTGTATGAGAAGGATATGTTACTAAGATATATATTTCACCAATTTCAGCAATTTGTTAATTATAACTTTATTTTAATGTTTAGCTACAGTAATGGACAAACTAAGTCAGGAATTTTTTTTTTTTTTTTTTTTTTGTGCAAATACAGTTATGCTTTTTTAGTTTTTTTAAAGTTATTTAGCAAGTGACTTTTTTCAGTTGTGACAGTTTGTCAGTCAGCAAGTGACTTTTGTAACTTTTAAATTTATTTTATTTAGAAAAATCAAAAGATTCTGTTGAGAATCTAAGTAAGCAATTTTTTATTGTTGTTGCCGTGCTCTTTTTTTTTTATTATACATTTAGTTAACATAAAGTTATTCTATATTTGGCAAGTTAGTTTATTTTAATGTTTATAAATTTTTCATTTTATTTAGAAAAATTAGAACATTCAATGGGTAAACAGAATTTGATTATAATTCATTTTTGTATTATAGATAAAGATATAGCATTTTACTTTCAAAAAAAAGGTCTACTCTATGGTCTTTTAGCTTTTTTGATACAGTTTTTGGCATTTTTTTTATAGGGCTTATATTTCAACAACTAAGTAAGTTAATATATTGTTCTTGTGGATTGTTTCTTTATTTTTATTTTTATTTTATTTTTGTTGCTTTTTTTTCTTTGTTTTTTATTTTTTTTATTTTTTTGGTTTGTTTTGTTTTGTGATTGTTATTAGTAATTTTTTTTTTTTTGCTTTTTGTTTTGTTCGAACTTTATTTATAGTTTTCATAAAGTTGTCAAATATTCTGCATGTTAGTTTCTTAATGTTAATGATTTTTTTATTCTATTTAGAAAAATCAGAAAATTCAATTGGTAAGCAAAGTTCAATTATGTTTCATTTTGTTTAATTTTAACACACGTTTTTTGATGTTTATGTGAAGTTTTATTACTGTAAAATAAATTGTTTAATTGATTTGTATATGTTAGTTTATGTAAATATATTTTTACCTCCACTATAGCGTCATCTGCAGTACCATCAGGTAATGTGTTTTGCATTCTTATGCAGTTTTATGAGTGTTATGTGTATTAAAACTTAAAGATAGCATATCTTAATTTACAGATTACTTTATTTATTTTTTTGTCTCTACATTAGCACCATAAGCAATAAAATCAAGTAATCTGTTTTGCATACTTATGCAGTTTTATGGGTGTTATGTGTAATGAAACTTAAATATTACTTTCTTTGATTTTTGTATGCAATTACATGATTGTTTAATGTATGTTTGTTTATATACATTTTTTATTAACCTCCACAATAGTATCAATATCTGCAGGATCATCAGGTAATTCGTTTTGCATACTTATGCAGTTTTATGAATATTAAGATTATGAGAATTTTATGTGTATTAAAACTTAAAGACTGCATATTTTTTAGTTTTAAATCATATTTGTTATCATATTTGCACATCACTTTATTTATTTTTTTGTCTCTAAATTAGCACCTCAAGCAATAATATCAGGTAATCTGTTTAGCATACTTATGCAGTTTTATGGGTTTTATGTGTATTGAAACTTAAACATTACTTTTATCATGTTTGTATGCAATTGCATAAATATTTAACATATGTTACTTTATACACTATTTTTTTTTTACCTCCACAATAGCATCAATATCATCTGCAGCACCATCAGGTAATGTGTTTTGCATACACATATGTGTATTGGAACTTAAACATTACTTTTTTCATGTTTGTATGCAACTACATAAATGTTTAACATATGTTACTTTATACACTTTTTTTTTTTTTACCTTCACAATAGCATCAATATCATCTGCAGTACCATCAGGTAATGTGTTTTGCATACTTATGCAGTTTTATGGGTGTTATGTGTATTTGTGTATGTATATATGAAATTTAAACATTACATATCCTTATTTTTACATTACTTTATTTGTTATTATTTTTTTTTGTCATACCTTTTTTTTTTTTAAGTCTAAATAGTTTTAAATAATATTTTTATTGGTTGTTATGTGCAGTATTGTATTCAAATTTATTTCTTTTCAATTATATGTTTATGATCCTAATACTGTTTTAAACTTTCGAAAGGAGTTAAAATGATTGTTGCATACGTGAGTTAATGGAACTTTTGCAGACTAACTAATCAGAAGAACCCATACGCACTTGCATTTAAAAACATGGCAGAAGTTGAAGATGCAGAAATTTGTCAAGCTGCTATAGAAGATCGACCAATTTCTGTTGTCAAAATGTCATTGCTTGAGGGTTGTGATAGACATTGATACAATCTTCCTTCACATGAGGAGGTTGCCATTGTGTTTGTAGGAAATGATGGCGCTCCACCTCCATTTAGATCCAATGATTATCCAATGATATATCCGATATAGTGGAAAGACAAAGAGGTAGTGATAAGGTGATTGTTTGAATGTATAAAGTCAGTTCATTTTGCAAATTATTTTTTCTCAGATTTTTTGTCACTTTTGCATGTAAAAGGTGCAAAGTCTTTTGAGGATTTGCGTACTGTTCATGGTACTGTTTTTAATACATTTCATGAAGCATGTTATCATTTAGGTTTATATCAAGAGGACATTGAGTGGAGAAATACATTAACTGAAGCTGTTGCAACTTGGATACCTAAACAAATTAGGCTACTGTTTTCCATCATAATAACTTTATGTGAACCTGATGATCATTTACACCTTTGGAATACATTTAAAAATTATATGATCTAGGATTACATACACCATTCAATGCCAGTCGTACTTGCTGAGCAGGCAGTTCTTCGTCAAATTGAACCTATAATTAATCAGAGTGGTAAAACCTTAGCTGATTATAATTTGCCTGCTTTGATCAGATTTTAGAATATGTCCCAGAAAATGATGATGTTCAGGTGTTTATTGATGAAGCCGAGTTTGACTGTTATTGAATGATAATCAGCGTAATGTAGCTGATACGATCCTTGAAAATAAGCATTCAAGATTGTTCTTTATGGATGGGCCTGCTGGTTGTGGTAAAACATTTACTTACAATTATTTAATTGCTGAAACACAAAGCAGGCATATTAGAACTGCAACAGCTGCATGGACAGGAATAGCTGCAACTCTTCTCAAAAATGGGTGCACAATGAATGGCTTATTCAAACTTCCTGTTCCAATTCTGGAAACTAGCACATGTAATGTAACTCTAAACCATATTCATGGTAGATTCCTGAGACAAATCAGTTTGTATTTACTTGATGAAGCATCTATGATACCCAAATATGCTTTGTAATGGAACTCGTTTGATGGTGCGTGCACTAAACAACAATTAAATTGATGGTGAGGTTTTAACAGGTGTATCAGCTGGTAACAGGGTATTTGTTCCTCGAGTTCAATTAGCTCCATCAGATGCAAATTTACCTTTTACACTTAAACACCGTCAGTTTCCAGTTAGGTTAGCATACTCAATGTCCATAAATAAAAATCAAGGTCAAACATTTAAAAAAGTTGGTGTTTATCTCAAAAAGCCTTACTTTTCACACGGCCAATTATATGTTGCATGTTCAAGAACAAGATCATTTAATAGTTTGTTTTTCAAAGTTGATAAACATCCATTACAAGGTATGTCATTTAACAAACATTACACAAATAATGTTGTCTTTACAAATGTTCTTAATTAATAATTTTGACAAGTATATTATGTGTTATATGTGTTATATATTTTTTGTATGTTTTTTTTTTGTTGCTATATGTGTATATAAATGTATGTGTTTATATGCGTTTATATATCTTTATCTATGTGCTTAAGTTTATATAAGTTTATATTAAGTGTAGTGCAAGATTGTGATCCTTGCTAGCCAAGCAGTGTTACTAATTAGTGGTTTTACTTGGCACTTAATGCCAAGTAGTGTTACTAAATTGTGGTGTTACTTGGCAGTGTTTAGTGCCAACCGGTCTTACAAGTGTTGAGCTAGGTTGTGTCGTCTAGCTTTTTAAATTATTTTGGAAACACATAATCTGAATATTTTGTGTTATGTGCACTTACAAATATTTTATGCTATGTGTATTCAGTAGCATAGGCAGGGTATTTTGATGATTCAGATAGCACTTTCAACCAAACTTAAGTGTGTTCACGTTTATAGAATTAAAATATTTTGCAAAAAATCGATGTTGTTAGAGCTTAGAAACAAATGTTTAAAAAAAGTTTTTTCCTATCCTGAATTTTTTTAGACATACTAAAGTTAAACTCTTCAACAGCTTCTTAATATATATCTGAAACAACAAAAATCCAACAAAAATATTAAAGTTGTTTCCTTTTGCAATAGCATTCAAAAACAATTTTTTTATTTATGAAAAAATATTTTTCAATATTAAATATACTCTAAAAAATTTCAAATCAAAATTAATCAAATCTTTATCATCAGTTGAAATGTTAAAATTTAGCAATCTTTGAATTGTAAAACGCTCATTTTTGGACTCATTCAACTTTTTTTTTTTTATTACTTAAACTGATAATGCAATGTAACATTTTACTTCTTTACACAACGCTGCTTCTTTTTCTTCATGCTATCTTCATGGTTTGTTGATGATTTTGCAATTCCTAACAGTCACATACTTTTAATTTTAGTATTTTAATATAAATTTATATATTTTGTTTGAGCAAACATTATCAAAAATAAACTGCATACTATCCGATATTGATTTTGCAAAGCTGATATATAAACTCATTACCTGTAAACCTCTTGGAACTTACTGATACTTTTCATAATTACAGATGTGCAGATATACCTAATTCAATTTCTTTGTTTAAACTTATGGCTATTAATGCGTTAGACTATTCCATGACCATTTCAAACTTCTATAACAACTAATTTAACCAAATTCAATTTAAATTTATTTTTAATTTCTAAGTTTTGTTAAAAATAATTAATCATTTTAAAATGCTTTTATTAAAATTGCTTTAACGGTATCAAGATGATTTTTTTTGTAGCTTAATGGTAAGTGATACATATATACATATATATCACTTAGCATTAAGGTACAAAAAAAATCAGCTTGTTACCATTATTGCAATTTACAGATTTTTTTTTGCAATTTAGAGATTTCCTTTTTTTTGACATTGGTGATTAGCTAATATTTTGTTTTTCTTTTGTTGCTATGAAGTATTCCGTTTAGCAACATAAAGATCATACTACAAAGTATTTTGTTATTTTTAGCAGGTATTTTTGTATTCAATGGCTGATGATTGCCATATAGGCATGAAACTTAAGGCACCATAGAAAATTTTTTTTTTCTTTGTTTATATATATATATATATGTTTATATATATATATATATATATATATATATATATATATATATATATATATATATATATATATATATATATATATATATATATATATATATATATATATATATATATATATATATATTTATATATATATATATATATACATATATATATATATATATATATATAATATATATATATATGTTTATATATATATGTTTATATACATATACATATATATATATACATATATATATATATATATATATATATTTATATATATATATATATATATACATATATATATATATATATATATATATATATATATATAAATATATATACATATATATATATATATATATGAATATATATATATATGTATATATATATATATATATATATATATATATATATATATATATATATGTATATATATATATATTTATATATATATATATATATATATATATATATATATATATATATATATATATTACATCATTAAAAAATTATCAAGAAAAAAAGTAAAAAATTAAGTATAAAAAACCGTAATCTCATATGAATGGCAAGAATTTTCTTCATGTTGTCAACAGTCAACTCATATGAAGGGTCTGGATCAAAACTGTCTACACCAATCACCTGACAGAGTATATTTAACTTTGATTCTCTTATATAAAGAAATTTGAATTAATGAACTCTTTTTTATTGGTTAAAATAGCAATAATAAAAATGTATTCTAATTTTTACTTACCGTGATAAAAGTTTGTAATTTGTGTTCAAACATCTCCATTCAGTACCACGCATCTGGCGCTTTAGATCATCATAAAGATTTTTTGTCATTACACCCTGTTTTATTATGGTTTTACGATCTGGATCAAGTAAGTTACCATTTGAATCAATGTTAAATCCAAAGAATGTCATTGTGGCATGGTCTTGGTTGAAAAATAAGTAAGGATGAGAACTAATTAAAAAATAATTAAAATATGAATGAGTTAAAGTCAATGTTCACTATATTTAAAATGTATTTTTTTTTTTAACAATTTGATATTTATTTTTAACGCTTTATTATGTACTTCTTTATTAACTGAGAAATTTGAAAAAAAATAAACTGAAAAAAAAAAAAAAATCAAAAAGTAGTTATGCTGATTTTCTAAGAATACTAAACAACCTGTGTTCCCATTTTCTTTTAAGCTGAATCATTAACTCATTAGAGCTATAACAACCATCCAATGATATTGAGCGAGTTGAAAAGTCCTAAATTGTAATATTATGAAATAATATTACAATTTACTATAGTAAAATAAATTTATTATGTATGTATATACTCAGACAAATTAAAAAAAAAAGTAATTTTGTATTTACGCATAAACTTTTGTCACTAAAAATGGGTTTTTAAATTATAGTTACTATTTCCATATATACATTCTTTGGAAAAGGTTATTTATCTTTGTATGATTTTACTCTTAATTTACAATAGTAATTTTTTTTCTCAAGCTCAAGAAATAATAATAATAGTGTCTTGATATGCTTGTTGCTGTGATATATGGGTGCTACAAAAATTTGTTGAACAAAACAATTGATCAAATCTCTATCTGTGGTTCTCTGCTCAAATGCAATTATCCCATTTTAAAGTATATGATAATGGGTAATGAAAAGTGGATAGTTAATGATATTGCTATTTGTAAAAGATTGTACGGAAAACAAGATAATCTACTACAAACAACACCAAAGAAAAATATTTTTGCTGAGGTAATTATGCTTTGTGTATAATGATACTTTAAAGATTGTTTATTATGAGCTTCTTCCTTAAAATCAAGCAATTAATTCAAAACATTAATTGTACTCAACTTGATCGAATGAAAGCAGCAATTGATAAGAAAATACCCTAAACTCCTTGTGTTTGAATCGGCTAAAATATATATAAATATCTAATATAATAATACCATAATTTTGTATAGTTGAATATTTTTATTTTTATTTCCTTAAAAAATAACTACAATATTTAGTAATAAATGAATAAAATATCAAGGTATTTATTTCATTTAATTATCTTTTTCTTAAATAAAGGATACTAAAACAATTGTTTAAGTTAATGTGTTTTTAAAACATATGAAAATAGAATATAGTGTGTGTTTAAGTTTACTAGTAGCTTATTCATAAACATCAGTGTAAAGAAAACCTTGTTTCAACAATCACTGGATTTGTTTCAATTAGAAAAGAATTTTCTTTACTCATATATTTAATGTATTTTATACTCTTAAAGTATACTCCTCAAACATCTTCAGACTAATAAATCATCATATGGGTCAAATTAATTTATTAATGATAAGAAATATTGCAAGTTTATGATTGGTTACAAAGTTTTTATAACCAATCATAAACTTGCAATATTTCTTATCATTCTAACTGTCACAAAGTTGTTAAATTTATAAAACCAATTTTTTAAGATTGTTATGGTCTTAAAATTAAGTTTATTCCACCAATCAAAATTAATTTTATTCAACTGGTCAAAAACATATGCTATTAATAATTACTCAGACTGTCAAGAGAACATTAATTTTGGGTTGTTTAATTTGTTCACAAATTAAATTCACTAATTTTATTAATTTTTCATTATAATAAAATATATTGCAATGAATTTATACGTTCATTAACCTAACTATTTACTTTCAAATTTGATAAGTTTGATGACATTTTGAAGACAATTTTGATGACAATTTGAAGACAAATTTGATAAATTTGATAAAAGGTATTTTACAAACTTTACAAATATCAACTTGATTCCTCATAAAGGTCTGAAAATTTTATTTTAGATGTTTGTTACAAAAGTTTTATATACTTTTTGATGCCATTATTTGGATGGTTTCTGAATGTTTTTTTTAACTATCATATTACTCATTTGGATAAGAAAGTCTAAAGTACCAATTTTTTATTTTTTGTTGAATGTTTTTTTATAGATTTATATATACAGATGTAATAATTAATGATATTAGATGTAATAAAGGAAATTTTTTTTTATTCTATATATTGTTTATGTGCTTTTTATATTTCACTTTAAGTTAATATAACTAATACTGCTTATTCACAAGTTTTTTGTCTAGAAAATTAATTTTACCTTGTTCAAAAAGTGATTCCCTTAATCCTAATGTAAATTATTTGTCCCTGGTTCACTGATTGTGTGTGACTACTAGTTGTGTGTGACCACTTTACAAACTTGTATAGTGGTCACAAAATTGTTAAGTTTAAAGATACATATATTTATGAACAATTATATAAAATAGATATAATATTCATAAACAAACATTGAATCAGAAACACTTACAGTTTATTTTTTATATCAAAATATAAAAAGAAAACTGAAAACATACTTAAAAAAAAAAAGTAAAACAATGTATAAAAAATTTAATGTATAAAAAATTAAAAATCTGGTTAAAAATTATTAAATTGCTTTTATTTAGAATGAAGTTCCCAATCATTTAAAAAAAGTTTTAATCAAAATTATTAAAATAAGTTATATGATTTGATATATAAATAAAATAAATTATGTTTAACCAAATTTTCTCATAGTTGAGATATTTTAAAAGTATTAATTTAATGTAACTTTTGATTTAGCACAATAAACCACGTAACAAAACTAATGAAATAAAATAATGTAATAAAATTGTAACTTTTGTATCAATAAATATTTAAGTTAAATATTTTTAAAATTGCTCATTCTCTAGTTAATAAGCAAATAAAAAATGCATAATAAAAAACATGTTTTACTATGCATTCAACATTAACAATGTATTTATTGTCATTATTAAGTTTTCTTGCTAAAACAAGTTTACTTTAATAATATTTTCAAATATAATTATAAAAAAAACTTAATTTGTTATTATTTACAATTATTATTTCGAAAATCTTCAAAATATATAAGTTTTATATAAAAATATTCTATGTTGTATATAAAAATACTGTAAAGCATTGTTATGAAATAAATTACCTGTGCCATTTCTAACAGGAAATTAACAACAAAAGTTTTAAATCCTCTTAAATCATCAGCAACATGAATGCTTGTAAATGCACATTGCTCACAGTCAATAAGTTGTGTATTAAAAAAGTGAATAAAATTTCTCACTTCACTCCAACAAGGGTCTTGTATGCCACAATATCTAAATATATATAAAAAATTAAACGATATAAAAAAAAATAGATAAATCCATTCATTAAGTTTAAGTTATTGTTTAAGATTAAGTTTATCTTCTTAGATATCTAAATATATATAAAAATATCCACAATATCTAAATATATATAAAAAATTAAACAATATAAAAAAAATAGATAAATCCATTCATTAAGTTTAAGTTATTGTTTAAGATTAAGTTTATCTTCTTAGATATCTAAATATATATAAAAATATCCACAATATCTAAATATATATAAAAAATTAAACAATATAAAAAAAATAGATAAATCCATTCATTAAGTTTAAGTTATTGTTTAAGATTAAATTTGTCTTCTTAGATATCTTAGTTGAGGTATCTTCTTGAGGTAGTATTGTAGGTAGGATTGGAGTCATACATTTGTACTTGTATTTGGCAATAATAGGCTGAATTCTTGTATTTGCACTGATATTATATTTAATTAAAAAACTTCTGAAATATTTTTATTTGATTGAAGTGTACTTGCAACTCCATAAACTAGGTTGACAAATTTTTTTTTTCAAAAAACCCAGAGATTCGTTGTATTTTTCTTTTTAACAAATGAAATAAGTTAAAAATTTGTTTTTATTTTGTTTTGTTGATTATTATTAAAAGATTTGTTTAAATTCTTTTTAATTCATTTTATCAGTTATTTTATCTTGAAAAAACCTTTGCATTTTTTTTAAACCTAAACAAAAATATTATTATTTGTATATATGCCAATTAGATATATTGCATTTGAACTTGTATTTAGAAATCTAGAATTAATGTATTTGTATTTGCATTTGATCAAATTTATTTGAACCCTGATTATAAGGATCTTGGTACTATTTTACAGGCTGACAAAAAATGATGGAGTAATTTTTTTATCACATGCAATGTTCATCATTTTTTAATTTTGTACTGGCAAAACTACCCTCATTTTCATTGATTCTGTGGTTAAAATCAACAAAGATGCGACCAGAAAAAATGTTTTTGAAGATGTGGTGCTTTCATAGGCTCAATAACACTTTGGAAATGACATTTGGATGTTCCAGCAAGATTTTGCATCATCTCATCAAGATTTTGCATCTTTTTTTTTGCACCATCTCATCAATGCAGGACTAGTGTAAGACAAATTTTCCTCATTTCATCTTGACTCAAGATGACCACCCCATTAGATTAAAGTGCTTGGTTGATTTTGGAGGCAAGAGATTGTGCAAACAGGCTCTTCAACAGTCATTGAATTTCAGCAAGCTTTTGAAGCTCTGTATCAAAAATAAAAGTGACTACTTAAAACAATGAATGATAAGCTAAATATGAATGATCCAAAATTTTTTTTGATGGCTAGGAAATATTTTAAAATAAATTCATTCATACATTTGTATTATCATATCAGAACCTTCTTATTTGGATAAACAGTAATAAAATAGAAATTATACACAAAAAAAGAAACAAGTATGAAAATATGTATAAATAATATTCTTAAAAAAACAATCTTAAATATTCTTAAGAAAAAAAATTACTTTAGTAATATCTTCAAGGTGTTTTCATGATTTATAGCAGGATAAGTTGGATTGTATGTGAATGCATTCAAAAGTGATGTATTTGTATCATACAAGTTTAGGTACTGACAAACACGCTGTATTGTGGATTTTTTATACTCTTCGCTGTCATACCAAATCATTGTAAGAATCTCTAGCCATTCATAAAAAATATAATATCTTAATATAATTACTTGTTTACATAAAATAAATATAATAGTTTATTTAAATTGTTTAATAAAAAGTTTTTAAAAATAAATTTCAAAAACAAAAGTTTTTTAAAATAAAATTCACCTTGACCTTCAAGAACACATAAAACTTCATTTGGTGAAATGCATGTAATTGATGGTAACATGTTAACAACTACACTGAAGAACTGATTTCTAATGGAAACCTTAAATAAAAAAGACACAAAAAGCTCAAAACATGTTTTTCATTCAAATTATTTAAAAAAAAATTATGTTTTATACTTACAATGCCTTTTGTAAAAAATGTAAAAAGTATGAATTTTATTTGTAATTATAGTCTGAAAGACTCTAGTTACAAATAAAAATTATTTGCAAAATTTATTACATAGCGTTATAAAAAAACCCTAACTAAAACTAAAACAACCCATTTAAAAAATCTTTGGTTTAACACAATTTACCTCTGATTAACTGAATAAACAGATTTTCTGTTAAAAGTTAAAATGAACGATTAAAAAATAAGAACTTTTTAAATCTACAAGTATTATTTATTAATGTCCCATTACACTGGAAAAATAAACTTTTAATATTGTTAGCTTTTCTTTTTGCACTTTGTTTTGTTAATTTTTTTCTTCATTTTTTTCTATTAGCTTTTTACTTTTATTTGATTGCTTAACAGAAATTTTTTCTGATTGATCTTTATTCAGGGAAATGTTATATTTCAACAACCAAGAAGAAAAAATTAAGATAAAAGCAGGTGTCATCTCATGCACAAGAAGAATACAATTTAAAACAGACAATTATCAATAATAAACTCTCTGCTTTGGAGCACGGTAATTTAAAAAATTTTTCCCAGAAACTTGAACTTAATATCAAGATTATTAAATAGAACTGTGTCTGTCAAATAAATGAATAAAAGCATTATGAATAAAATGAAGCAATGAATACAAGAATGCAAGAAAATTGATATTTTTTGAGAGAAACCTATGTTAAGAGAAATCCAATGCACTTTTATATTAAAAAGTTATTTACTTTCATTTTGAAAACCTAACCATCTTCATCATCATTCATCAAATCCAACATCATAAAATCACAACTGAATAGTTTAAAATAAGTCACAATTTACTTGTCATTAAACCACAATGTATTTGGGATTTTGAGTAGCTGAGTAGAGATTTTTCTAAATCCAATAAATAAACCTCCTGATAGGATCTTTTACTAGCTTTACTTTATCAAGACAATTTTTGCGTCACGGTAAGGAAGAAGGTGTGAACTTTCTGGTTAAATACACATCCGCAGTGCTCTGTGACAAGACCGTTAAGTCTTCATGGGGCACCTAAATAACAATAACAAAAAAAAAAAAAAAAAAGATCATGTTATTAGGAAATTATTAGGAATAAGAAAACTTTTTGAAATTTTTAAAACTTAAAATTTGAATAAATTGACATATCATGATTACTTTTTATACAAAAATTTTATTGAGAACATTATTACATTATGTGAAAATTGACCAAACTGTTTAAAAAATGCTATAAAAAAGAGTGTTATTTCGATTTCACACGAGAATTTTAGTCTAAAACCACCTAATTACAACTTTTTTTTTTTTTAATTTTCAGAAACTTAAATAAAAAGTAGGTTTTTGATCACATGCAAACCTCATAATTTTTTAATTTTGCACTTCAATATTGTTTTATTTAAATTCTCAATGATTTGTTCTACATGTTTTATCGTTGCTTTTTTAATTTAATTGTTTTTCAGGATGACAAACAAAGGAAGCTCAATTTTGGATCTTCATCATGAAGGAAAATTTTGAATTTCATCATGAAGAAAAGCAAGCAGGATAATTCATTAATTTGCTTTGTGGACCTAAGCCATTTCCAAAGCAAATAAACAATTCAAGGAGCCATTATGGGATTGTCTTAAAAGTGGCCAAAAATAAACAGATTGATTTATGGCCAAATAGGAGCTTAACCCCCACTGCTACAAACTCAAGCAAGGACAGCTTCTCAACAATGACAACAAACAAGTTTAACTAGAGAGATATCACTAACTGCTCAAGCAGGTTGAAATTTAACACTGGGAGTGTATCTTGTTCTCCAATGAAAAGCTATTAATCTAATTTGGACAAAGTCATCCCCTTCATTGTTCAACACTGCCAAAATCCCAAATCGATTATGGTTTGCATTAGAATTTGTGTCACAGGCAAAACTTTCCTCATTTTCATTGATTTTGTGGTTCTGTGTACAGAAAAGATGTTGTTGAAGATGTGGTGCTTCCAGGATTTTTCTCCATCTCATTGAGCCAAATCAAGGCAGGAATGGTGTAAGGTCAATTTACCTGATTTAATTTCAGCTCAAGAATTACAGTGTTTGGTCAATTTTAAAGACGAAGGCTAGTACTAAAACCTTCAAAAGTTTGGAAGCTCTCAAGCAGTCATTGGCAAGGAAATGAAATCAAATCACCCCAGCAGAGCTGCAGCCTATCACTGATAGGCTGCAGCAATTTCAGCAAGCATTTGAGGCTCTCTATCAAAAACAAAGCTGTCCACTTGGAACAAAATTGAGCATTTTTATAATTTTGAATATTTTTCATTGATAAATACACTGTTAACTTTGTTATTACTTCTTGATTTAGAAAAAATTGTCAACTTTGTTGAACTTTCAAATTATCAAAATACCTTTTATCTAATGATAGCATTTATTAACAAAACCTATACTAAATATTTATTTATAAAGAAATTTCAAATATAATATTAAAACAAAATAATGTAAATAAACTACATAACTATTAAACTGCTAAGTTTAATAGTTATGTAGTTCTTCCAGAAATTCAAATATTTTAGGAAGATTATTAATTAATGTTACTACTTACATTATTAGAGTGGTCATCATAATTATTTATGGTTAATTCAATGATGCATGTATCATTGTTATTCATTCTCCACAGTTTTCCTGTACTGGTTTTTAATGATCCCAGAACAACTAAGTTAAACAAAAACGAATCCAGTCCTTCCCTAACCTAAAAAGCAATATTATCACATCATTATGATCATGGTCATCATGATCATCACATCATCATAATCAGCATGATTATCTGATCATCATGGTGATTTAATCATCATGCTCATCATGTATATATGTATATAAATACATATATATATACATACTTTTTTTTAAATATCTGAAAATATTCAGTTCAAATTTAATATTAAATTAAATTTTACCATTGGTGAAATATCAAAATGATATATTCTAGGGAAAAAAGCACTAGGCTTTTCCTCAAATTGAAGTAATCGTTCAACTATCACATTAGTATTAATCACTGTACCATGCACAGGTACTACAACAATGCAGTTCTTGTTTTGGCTATTGTTCATATTTGTTTGGTAATTAACATCCAAATGAGAAGAAAGTCGTGAACCACATTTTTCTACAAAAAAAGATTTTCCCATTCCACTTTTCCTTGATTTCACAACAAGTGATTTGTACCTGAAATAGCATAAAACTCACAAGCAAATATTACTTTTATATGAAATAAAATAAAAAAATTAAGCACCAATATTAAAACTGTATGAAAAAATATAAAAAGTTTTACACTAATTCTTTAAAATTGATTCCAGCCTTTTCATCAGAAAGTTTGTTTCGAAGACATTGTGTAAGTTTCTTACAGATTTGATCTCTACTAAGAAAACTTGACATTTTTATATTAAAATGGTCAAGAGCCGTTACAAGGTATGAATTGTGGTTGTTTTCACTGCTACAAAATACTACAAGTGGACTCATCTCACCTAAAAATTTTAAAAGTGTTTAAAAAAAAAGTATGAGTAAACAAATGAAATGACAAGAGAACACAGAGACAAATTCTAAGACCTAATTTAATTGTCTTTTGCAAGAAAGAATACACTTCTTCACATGTTTCATATTTCAGGTTTTCATTTATCACCAAACAATATAAGCCATACTTGTTGTCTACAGCTCGCATTATTAACAGTTCTATCTAAAAAATTATGAAAAAAAGATAAAATTAAAAACACTTATTTTTTTACTTTACACTTATTATAAACTAAAATTATTTAACTATTTTGAACTATACTATTTTTTTCTATTCATTTAATTATTTTTTTATATTTTTTATATTGTAAAAACTGACAATAAATTTTTTCTACTAAATATTTGCTCTATATGTCACCTCTTCAATTGAAACAGAATCATCACAAAGAAGAACTTCCTCTGAGGTGGGCAAGAACTCATTTTGATAAAGGTAAATCTCAAGAACTGCATACATAATATCATCTTTAAAAAAAAAAAAAAAATTAAAAAAAAAAGTTAGTAATAGAAATATTCTTCTAAAAATATAACTAATGTCATACCATGAGGTATGTGGAATTCAGAATAAAAAAAAGGTTAGTAATAGAATTGTTCTTCTAAAAATATAACTGTATAGTCGTACCATGAGGTAATACTATTAAGCTTGGTTTATCTTTATTTATAAATGGAGGAATAATCCTTCTTGTAACCTTAAAACTTGTTGTGTCTGCAAATTAAAAATAAAAAATTAAAATAATACATGTAATAAATTATTTCATTAAAAAAGCTAATTTTTATAATTTGTAAATTTAAATTTTCAATAATTCTAATTTTTTAAGGTTTTTGAAGTAAATTTTAAATAAACTTGTAGAGACAATATTAACCAAAGTTAATAAACAATAAGAAAATGATAATGAAAATTAAAGTGTAAAAACAAAATATCTAATACATTAAATATTATCTTATAAATAAATATTATAATGTAATAAAACAATATATACATATAATAATACAATATAATAATATAGCAGTATTCAGGTCTAACTTATAAATAAATATAAGAGCATCTAGATGCTGAACATTTAAATAAATATAAAAGCATCTAGATGCTGAACATTTAAATAAATATAAGAGCATCTAAATGCTGAACATTTAAATAAATATAAGAGCATCTAGATGCTGAACATTTAAATAAATATAAGAGCATCTAAATGCTGAACATTTAAAATAAAATCATAAAAAAACCTTTATAATGATTTAAAAATCTGCCAAGTTCATCAATTGTCAAATATGGTTTTTTTTCATCTTTATCTTTTTCATTTAAACTAAAATTATCAAGTTAAAAAAGTTACAAAAATATTAGTTAAAAATTTTTTTTATTTCATTTTTACTATATTAACCTCCTATTGCCATGTAGTAACAACAGTGAACGAAGCTACTTTTTTTAAACTCTTACTTTTTACAATTAACTATTTAATTGAAAAAACAGTTTAACAACTCTATTTCAATCCTATAGCTCTGAAACACACACACAAAAAAAATGGAAATACCTAGAAATGTAAATGCCAAATGTAAAACTACAAGAAATGTGATGAGTATCAAACTAAGCACACCTCACTCATAAAGTAAGACAGAAGACTTTTTTTTTTTAAGATATTTAAATTTTTCCTCTATTTAAAGTCTTTATCTATAAGGCTGGTGTAGATGTATTTAAAACACATTGTTTCCAGTTTAGGATGTTGAATGTTGGATCTTCTTGATTCAATGCATGGGTTTTGCTTGTGTCTGTTTTTATAATTAGGCAACTCATTATATTATCTCCTAATGAGGGTACAACTTTATAACTCAGTTTTATGGTTCTGTGGCCAGCTGGTAGTCAGGTTTCTTGAACTCTGTGGTTTCAGAGAGGTCGATTTCAACAACAGCTGTAAAATATCAGAGTACTAACAGTGCCATGATCCGCATGAATGTCCTGTTTGTACTTTTGGTGTGCATTGTTAAGGCCACATTTGTAGCCCTTAGTTATGGCTCATGGTTTATTATTAGTAAAGAGCAATTTCCAAACATAACCATTATCTTTATACCTATCAGCAAAACAATTCTTCTGGAAATAGACATCTGTTTACTATTGTTACCAATGTAAATAGGTTTGGTTTAGCACTAAAGCCTGCTAATCTCGAAATCTCATATTTCAACTCAAAAATTAGACTCTTGTGACTTCTGGAGAATCTTTAACAGTATCTATAATAAGGGCAAATCTGTTATTCCATCTCTTTTGTATGGTTCATATTTTGTCTTGATTCCACTAGTCGTGTTCTAGCTGATATAGCCAAAAAACAGGTTAGCCAGACTTGCCAGACTTGCCTATCACTCCAGCTTGTATCCAAAGTAAATTCTTGCTTAGACTGCTTAGACTCTTCTACAGTTTCTGGTCCAGACAACATACCCATTATAGTCTTGCAGAAGTGTTCTCTGGATCTGTTGTCTATACTTTCCAAACTATTTAACAAGTGTTTACTAGAGTCTTGTTTTCCATTCTGCTGGAAAGCGGAATCTGTTATCTCTTTTTTTGAAAATTCTGGAGAGCGATCTGACTCATCTAACAACCACCCCAACAGTCTTCTTCCTATTATGAGCAAGATTTTTTTGAGTCTTTAATTAATAAACACTTTATCTCTCATCTTGAATCTAATAAGTTTCTGATCATCAATATGGATTTTGATCTTCTTGTTCTACTTCTTGATAATTTGTTAACAGTAATAAATAATAGGTTTTATTGCACATTAGATAGATGTGGAGAGGCTAAGGCTATTGCTCTCGACATAAAGCCTTTAATAAAGATTGACATGCTGGTCTTCTTGATAAGCTTTCTTCTTATGGTGTATCTGGTAACCTCTTTAAGATGGTTGAATTCTTCCTTAACAATTGTAGTATAAAAGTTGTCCTCAATGGACAGTACTCTTCTTCAAATACTATAATTACAAGGGCTCCTTAAGGTAAAAATTCTTTCTAACACCTGGTGAGATTAAAGCTCCAAATTTTTGTCTAACTCAAATAGTGAACTTCTCATTTTACTCATTTTTCAGACAACCTTGTTCGCTCTTTAATTTGTATTTCGTTTTTGATCTTAGCTTGTGCTTAGTTTTTCTATTTTCTCCTTTAGGAGACTTTTGGGAAATCCTAAAGAATGTCATTTGCAAAGGCAAGTCTAGCATCCCATTTATAATATATGGGTCAGATCTTATAACCTTTTCCACGGAAAAGACATAATTATTTGCAAGAAACTTTGTTTTGAATCTAATAACCACACTCTTCCTATGATCCCAGAGAAATAGGTTAATACATTATTAAACATCCAAATCACTCTGATTTTTTTTGCTTAAGTTATCCTCATTTAAGTTCTTGTAATGCTAATGGTTTAGAAACAATTTCTGTCCTTAAAAGTGATTTTCAGAAGTGAAAGAACTCAATTCTCTCTAAACTATTTAATAGCATTGGCATTTTCATTTCCATTAACTAAATTGTATTACATTTCCATTCCAATTAAAGAGGTTAACCCATTGTTAAATATTTAAATCACTTTTGTTGCTTATCTTAATTAAACTCTTCTGCGCTTGGGGTCCAGCAAACATTTCTGTCATAATCTTATAAACATGTTCTCTAGAACTCACTTTCATTCTTTCTTAACTATTTATTAAGTATCTGCAACTCTTATTTCTAGAAATTTTTTATTTTTTATTTTTTTTCAATATATTTATTCTCAATATAGTAACAACCATACATACTTTTTGTGTACTTATTTAACCATAGATACTTATCCTTACATACTTATATATGTATCACAGAAGTCTGTGATACATATAAGTATATAAGGATAACAATTAAAGATAATAAAGTTAAATCATAAAAAATGATATATTATTTATAAGTAAAAAAAAAAAAAAAAATATTAACCAAATTTTTTAGTATCATTTAATACCTATTAGATGACTTTAAACGCTGAAACTGAAGTTTTGCTTCCTGCTCTAACTTATCAATTTCTTCAGATTCTGAATCCTGTTTTTCACACCAAGGTACAGCTTTTCCTTCAAGGTATGGAAAAATCTTTATAATAGATGCCCATGCAACATTTTCATTTATATCGTAATTTTTCTGAAGTTTATTGACAAACTTTAGAATTTTGTCAGGTGTGTATTTATCAAAATTTGATTGAATATGGCCTTTTTTCCATTGTTCAGATTCATCTTTAATAGATAAGGTGCGAGACAAATTAAAAGTGTGTTTAATTTTATTTAAACACACATTATGATCAAAAAAATAAAGAAGTGTGTAAAACTGAGTAGATAACTTATCAACATTTTGAAGATTCTCATTCAGCATAAATAATTGTTTTTGCATAAAGAGACATTGTTTAACTGAAAAATAGTTTATGATAGCATTTGATTGACGAAAACTTGTTAACTTTTCTTTCCAGTCAGTAAATCGATTCTCTAATTTTTCAGATTCTGATTCTAAATCCTTCATAGAATTTTCTGGCTCCAACTCAACGTCACAATTAAATGTCATTCTCCATTTTAAAAAGTTAATATCACCAGCTTCACAAAGAGACATATAGGCTAATCCCAATCTTGTAACTATTTCAACAACCTGTAAAACCGTTATTGAATATTTTTAAAACTCAAATTAACAATTAATGAAATTAAACAAACAACCTAGTTGTTATAAAAAATAATCTTATAATGAAACCCTTTTTTTTTAATTATTTATCATTTAGTTTAATTATATTTTTAAATAAATTTTTTAACTAAATAATTAAAACAAAAAAGTTATTTAGTATTAGGGTTTCTAATCCAGTGCTATATTTTAATTTCCGTGATTACAGAATTATATTTACTTCGTCCCAGGATCCCAATTTATATATAACTCTGCTAGTTATTCATTTATTTTTGTAAAACTTTAAGAAAATTTATTACACATCACATTCAAAAACAGATTATAAAAAACTATTTGTTAAATTATAAGGGAAACTCATTGATTAATAGTTATTATTAAAAATAATTATTTTTGATATGTTTTGATGAAGGTGACACATCCAAAATTTTATAGCTTAATTAACTTCTTATTTATAAATAACTACTTGGTAGTGGTGTAGTGTTAAGAGCTAATTAAAAAAAGTTTTTTTTGTATTTAAAAAAAAATTAAAAAGTAGTTAATTATGCGGTAGTGGTGTAGTGGTAAGAACGCTCGCTTTGTAAGCCAGAGGTTCGGAGTTTGACTCCCACCATGTCCCTGGAAGTACCGCGCTCAACTTAATTTCTCCGCGCATTGGCCTTGCTTGTCAAGGTTCATGTTTTGGAGTTAAAGAGTTGAGAGAGGATTGTACCAAGATTTACAACAAAAAATAATTAAAAAAAAAAATGAGTTGCCTCCTCGATTGTAGTGGCCCCCTTGGGCCTTGGGGAGGTGAATAATTAAAAAAAAAAAAAAAAGTAATTATTTGAAAAAAATAAAATTAAAAGATTTTGTTATATTTATTATCCTTTTTTGTATAAAAAGAGTTTTTTTTGAATTTTCACTGATAGTGTTTCACATCAGCATCCTCACTATGTGCTTTTTATATAGCTGTAATAATTCTTTATGACAGATTTTTAATTGACAAAAATTTTACAAGGGAAAAAAAAAGAATACAAAAAAAATACTTTTCACAGTTTCAATATAAAATTTATGGGCGCGCAGAAATGGATGTAAAAACGTAAACAAACATTATTTCAACGGTTTAAATTATAGAGGTTTATAATAGAAAAAAATGTAAATACTGAACCTCTACCATATCGAAGTTTCAAGAGATCAAAAAATTGTGCTCTCATCGATTGTAAAAATAATCTAGAAATGTGAAAAGATGATTCATGTATGATACAAAATGTTAAACAAACCTCTAACTTGTGAAACTACAAACTAACATTTGAGTAAGCATTTGCTATCCATTATCAACACACATACATATATAAAATAATATAAAAACAACTACAGCTCAGAGAATTATAGAAAAAACTGATTAACCGTTCAACTCCTACATTATTGCATCAAAGTAAATTATTTACAACAAAATATAAAATGAGAGTATGTTCAGGCAATTTTCCTGACAGAGCACTATTGTTTAAAAATCAATATTTTTCGTTTAACTTAGGCTACAATGTTCAAAGACTTACACTATTTAATGTAAATAATACAAATTTTTCAAACAATGATCCATCAAATTATGTTGAATTTAATGTTAAGCGTTGTTTTATAATAGAGCATCAAGAATTAAAAAAGGAAATTGATAACTTAAAAAAAGAACTTCAGCATGAAATAAAAAAAAAATAAAGATTTATTTGAAAAATTAACTTCAACCACATCAGTTATTACTATGAAACAAATTTGTATATAAACGTAATCCAAAATCCCATTCGTGTTATTGCAATTTACTTGTATACAAACATTTATTTTAAAAATGATAGATCTTGCAACTTTTATACTGGCCTTACATCTGTCAATGTGTTTCATCAGTTAGTGCAGTATCACGATTAATCAAATAAAGATAAAGTGATATGAAAGAAACATCTACTGCTGTTTTTCGAAATTTAAAAAAACCATTATCTACTTGGACCAAAATAAATGTTATGCAACAAAGATGAATTTTCAATGATGCTAATACATGGATTACTGACAACTGATCTTGCTAACAGGTTTAATATATCTTTAGGATTAGCAAACACAATATTTTCTTCATGGTTGAAAGCTTCTAGCTCACTTTTGAAGCACATGGTTTTTGTTCCAAGTAAAGATGTTATAAGACATGCAATGCAAAACCGATTTAAAAAATTAAATTATATAGACTTACACTAAATTATAACAGAGTTTATCATAAAAACAAAAAAAAAAGTTTTGACTTACAGAAACTAACAAGGAGTGAATACAAACATTACAACAATATAAAAACATTAGTACCCGTACCTCAAAATTCATCAATAATTTCTTTAAATAATTTGTAAAGCTTACAGAAGCTAAATTTTGGATAAAGAAATTACAAATTGCAACAAATGTTTAGATTGTATTCTAAAATACTCTTGTATAATGTATATATATGTGTATATATATATATATATATATATATATATATATATATATATATATATATATATATAAATGTATATATATATATATATATATATATATATATATATATATATATATATATATATATATATATACATAAATACATATATATATATATATATATATATATATATATATATATATATATATATATATATATATACATAAATTTAGCTTTAAATACTACATATCAGAACTGTGAAAAGGTGTATTACAAATTCAAATTAATATCAGTATATATAAAAAAAATAGTAATATAAAAGGTGTAAATATAAAATCAGTAGCTTTATTAATAGATTCCTCATTTGAAATAGAAATTTAAACTTTTGAGTCCGATTTCAACTTTTGATTTAACTGTTTATGGTGCAACTAAATTTAGTAACCTGACTAATAAATTTTAGAATATTTATACAGCAAAGGTTACATAGTCATTCATCAAAAGATAAAGAAAATCTTAAATAGTTACATTGAAGTTTTTTAGAAATTTCTTTTTTTAACTCTACAACTATTTTATATGCAATGTTGACTGTAGTAGATAAACTCTTACTTTTCTATGAACCATATAGCAATAAGATCTACATTTTTAACACTAGAGCTGCATAAAATCTTTAGATTTCATTAAAGACTGTTAACTGTGGGGGTTGCAACTAAGAAGGTAGTGATTTTTTTTTGTCCTACATTCTTGTTTGCTGTAGTATTTGCTGGTGTAAGATTAAATTTATGGGCAGAAAGTAGAAAACATTATTTTCTACTGCTGTTCCTTATCATATCTAATTTTACTGATTCTTTACTGACGTCAACTATGTTATTGATGTTACATTAGATTCTACCAAAAAAAAATTCTAAATCAACTTTAGTTAGTATTTCAATAACGTTCATGTGGTTGTCAAAAGTTATTATGTTACTACTGTATATCAGGAAATTTATCATTTATCATCTTCAAAATGCAGTGAGAACACTTATTCACAAAAATTAGATTTTTTATTTAGAAAAACAATTTAGAAAAATTTGAGAACCATACTTCTTATCAAGAAGTCATTGATATAATAGCTATAAGACTATTCCTACAACAACTTGTTTACGAACTTCTCAGCAAAACACATGCACAGATAAAGAAGGAAAATAAAGCAATATTACTTACAACCAGTTTTGAATTTCTAGACAAGATTTTTCAACTGAAGTAGAGATAAACACTTAATTTAACAAATTTTTTTCATTTATCGAATTTCAAAAGGAAAGATAACCTGGCTTAAACTTAATGGATGAGAAATTTATAAAGTTAGTTTTAAAGAGCAAAAATTGAAAATAGTTTTTTTTGCAGATAATGGCTCTTACAATACTTTATAGCATTAAATCAAAACTTTTTGTAGAAAATGGTTTAGAATTATGGAGATAAAACCACAGATTTTTTATTTTTACACAATATAACGATAACCTTGAAGTGAATGAAGTGTTTGTTGGACTTTTTATGAAAATTATATTTGCTGAAAGTGTAATTACAACAATCAAAGATGTTCTTATGCAGATGAATACTTTAATAAGTAATTGTTGCAGTCAATGTTATGATAGTACCAGCATAATGACAACTAATGAGTCAGGAGTTTAAAAAAAAAAAAATGGGCGCAACCCTATTTTACTGTGCTACAGCAAAGTAGTTAATAACTGAGATTAACTGAACAAAATTTGCTGATGAACTTATTTTCCTGTAAAAAAAATGTTATTAACTTTGTTATTGTGTTATTTAGCACAAATGTTATTTAGCACAAATTAATGAATTGATACAAAACAGTAACTAAGCAGATATTGTTATACACATTGTAAATCCAAACAATAATTACATAAATAATTATCTATTAAAACTCAATGCTTTAAGTTATGCAAAACTTAATATGGTATTTAGAAAACAATTTTTTTGAGAGTTATACAACACTTTCTGTAACGTTTTCTTTCTTAAATAAAAAATAAAAAAAACTTGATGAACACATAAAACATTGTATTTTGACTTTTAATGTAAACACTTCATAAACTAAAACTTGCAAAATTTTTTGGATCTTCACTCATTATCTCAATAGCCAACATCATCTAATCAACAACCTGCTAATTATGTATTAGGATTTAGTGCAAGGATAATTTGCTATTCCACATAAACTATAAGTTGTGCAACTATAGGTTTATTTTTGAAACTAAGTAGACTTTGGAGATTTTTTGGAGATTTAAACACTGGTGTATATCCTGCTTTTTTAAAAACTCTTCTTAACTTATGACAGATTTCATGGATCCAGGGTAACGATACAAATCTCCTTTTCTATTTATTTTGGAGACATTAAGAAATGTTGGTTTTTTGTGAGATTTATTTTGTTGTTAAAACTTTCTTTAGTAGACTTAACTAGTTTTACCTGACTATTCCTTTCATAGTTGTTTTCTACAAGTACATCAATAAGAAACAACAACTCATCATCCATGTTATTTATTATGCATAAATGTAGTGCTCCACAGACAAAATTTGAATCTTTGTTGTTGCATTTTTGCAATGTATTTTAAAAATATATGTACCGGTTTTATAGTTGGCATAAGTCGGCAGATTCCATTGTGTATTGAATACTTTTGTGCTGTTTGTTAAGTAGATCTAAAAAGTCTCCTAAAAATACTTAGTTCCAAAAATAATCCTACGCTATCAATACTTCTTGCATTTGAAGGATAAGTACCCAAAAAACAAAAAGAAAGTAGAGTTATCCACTGTCCATTAACAAAAAACTTTGAAATCAGCTGCCATAATGAAAAACATATTTGCTGCACTCTTTCAAAGTTAATTACACCTTGGATGAAGGGTGGATTTCAGATTTTACAATTACAAACAATTTGGTAGGTACCAGACTGTATATGTTTTTTTTTATTTATATATTATTACTTATTAGAGGAAAATATTAATATAACTAATGTCTGCTGTTAAATAAGTGAATAAACAGAAGTAGGTGTGTTGTAAAATATACCGAACCTATAAATCATATTTTTTAGTATAAAGATAGAGAAGCTGATCCGAACCTGTTAAAAAAAAACAAAGCAAGGCAAACTTTATCAGAGATTAAAAAAAGGAGGTTTTTAACTCAGATGAAAAGGACTTAATGGATTGCACCTGAGCTCGATACTCTGGTTACAATTATTAAAGCTGATAGGAAACAAAAGGATCAAGACAAGATTGAAGCATTTTTATTGGATCAATTATAAGATAGAAAAACTAGAGTAGGTGAAATCGATACCTTTACTCTGTAAACAGGAGTTTATCCAAAATTAAAAGGAAATCAAATTGATCGGAGAAAGATGAAGATAATGAAGATTTTCCATACCCAGATCCAGAGTTAAAGAAAAAAGTCAAATAAACTAATACTGTCATTTTTCCAAAAGATATTCTCAAGAGAACAGCTGATACTGCTGTTGGGGAAGGAATAAGTCATAGGCAGCATGCTTCCATGGTTAATAGTATAATCGTTAAATCGAGTGGAAATGTTGAATTTAAATGTTCAACCTCTACAGCATTACACGCTGCAGATAAGGTCATTCATGATGAATCAAAGAGGATCAAGGATGATTTAGGAACTTTTAGTAAAATCAATAAGAACATTTTAGTACAACTCCATTTTGATGGAAAAGTATGTCATGAATATACTGATGGGGAAAAATTGGAACAAGATTAGTTAAGAATATTAATAAATAGTAACAAGGAAACGCACCTGTTGGGAATTCCACCCATTTCTTCTGGAACTGGCGAAAATCAAAAAAATGCAATCAGAGATATCTTAAATAGCTTTAACCTTACAGACAATATACAAGCTGTTACATTTGATACCACCAGAATCAACACTGGAAACAAAAATAGAGCTGTATTTTTACTGGTAAATGAAGTCTTTCAACGACCAGTTCTATCTATTGCATGACAACATCATGTCAATGAGCTACACATAACACATTTCTGGAAAAATTATCAAAGTAGCATTACTTCTGTACCAGATAATCTGCTGTTTAAAACTTTAAAATCAGCATGGAATAATCTTGACGCAGACAACCAGGTAGGTTTTTACAAAATTAGCTACCATTTTGTGAAATATTATTTTTTCCAAATAATTTTCTTTTTCCAATTTTGAGTTCTTTGAATTTTTTTTTATGTTTTGAATAAATAAGGTTTTGAGAAGATTGACTATTCCAGAGGAAACATGGCAAGGTCATCAAAAGCATGAAAGCATAACGTTCTGCAGAAATATTATCACCAGTGGGTCTCTAAAAATGGCAGCCAATAACTAGATATCTGAATTTGTAGTTATCTATGTAGTATGTACTTTTATGTTTAAATTTTTTTATAAATTTTTCTTTTTTAATTCTATTATTCTTTATTATACTAAAATATAAGTTTATTTTATTATACCTAAATACTTATGATTTGATTTCATTTTTAGGGTTACTAAAATAAAAAAAATTAGAACCTACAATTCCTTACCTTTGGCAAAAGGTAAGGAATTGTAGGTTCATGATAAAAAAAGGTTCAAAGTGTAGTAAAATTATAGGTTCATAGGAAAAAAAAGGAATTTGTTTTACATTATCAAATATTAGTTTTTTAAAAAATTAAAAAAAAAGACTTTTTTTTTTATTAGTATCTACTACCTAAAACTCCAACTTATGATGGATGCTATACCTAGTCTGGAAAAATGGCTGAAGAATGAAATTACTGAAGTGGCAACTTTTGTCTCTGTTTTCTATACTACCTGGTTTCTCAAAGCTGAACTATCTGCTGCTGCTCCGAGTCAGGTAGGTACTATAGGGCTACGATTTATATTTGCTTTAAATTATACTTGTTAAAAAAATTCAATTTTATTAATTTTGTGAAGCTTGTAAAGTTGAATTTTAATTTTCTTCAAAAATTTAATTTCATTTATTTTGTGAAGCTTGTAAAGTTGAATTTAAACTTTACAAAAAACCAATCGTTTCTTTGATCAGTGTCAATGATCTACATACCACATAATATTATTATGTGGTAGTGGTGTAGTGGTAGAGTGCTTGCCTTATAAACAAGAAGTTCCAAGTTCGATCCCTACCACATCCTTAGTAATATCAAACTTTACTTTACTCTTTGCAGCGGCCTTGTTTGCCAAGATTCATGTTTCCAAGTTATAGAGTGAGAGATGTTGCCTCTTCGACTATATTGGCCTTCTTGGCATTGAAAAGGTGAATTGCCATTAGAAAAAAAAAAATTTTATTCTTTAATATAAAATTCTGAAATAAAAACACTTATCTAAAAAATCTTTTATAAAAATTTTGAATAAATCCCTTTTTGATTAAAAAACAATATTATTTTACAAAACATCTTACCCCAACAAAATAATTTCTTTCTTTCTTCATGTCTTGAATTGATTTGTCACCAATATTTGCTCCAAGCAACATCAATCGACTTTGTAAGTCATTTATTTCTTCTAAAGTGTACTCTTTGTCAGGTTTTTTCAGATCATCAGTTTTTATTATAAATTTTATAACATCTGCTAAATCGAATTCTAAAAAGTCACTATTATCATTTTTTTGATTTCCAATAATGAAATATCCTCTACGATTGGCTACTTGAGCTTCCATTATAGACTTTGTAGCAACTGATCCTTGTGATTCTTTTGCAGTTTTTAACCACTCCAGATTGCGGTTTGTATCAATCTAAAACACAAGTAATTACATACAGAAATCTAAAATAACATTTAAGATAAAATGTAAAAACTCAATAAGTTTTTTATTTTAGACAACGCGATCACAGCCATTTGCAAGTTTTATTATAATAATTGTTTCAATAGTTTGCGGAAAAAAACTTTGAATTAGCAACAGTTCTTGCTAATTTGTTGATAGGTAATTTAGAAAATAAATGAATTAAAAATTTCGATGGTGTAAAACCAGTTTTCTGAAAAAGATACATTGATGACAATCAATATTACTAATCTCTTCACTCTGGTATAAACGACCTCTTTAAAGTATTTTAAAGATACATGTAAGCATCCTGGTTAATTTCAAAAATATATAATTCCAGTTTAAACAAGATTAATGCAAATACTTCACCACAACCAAAAATCAAAGGGTCCTTGTCTTATTTTAAGCTGTCATTTTTGGGGAAATTTCTGATTCTAATAAAAAAAGAATTTGAATTCAATTGCTTGAATTCAATTGATTTAATATTTCCAGAACGACAATATCTTTTGATATTGTCGTTCTGGAAATTTTAAATCTTAAATTAGTGTTTACCTCACTAAAAATTTCTGAATTTTTTTCTTCTGAAAATCTTATTCTTAATCTTATTCAAATGGTTTGTGGTCTATAAATTTGTATGTGCAGGATGTAACTCATGCTATATATGAAAAGTATTATAAAAAGTTTCATATCTATAAACATCTCCACGCTAATGAAAATTGTTTCATGCAAATAAGTGATAAGTGTTTCTCTGTTTTAAATTCAGCATTTTATATAAATATATATATATATATATATATATATATATATATATATATATATATATATATACATTTATATAAAATGTATATATATATATATATATATATATATATATATATATATATATATATATATACATATTTATATACATAGTAATGACTTTTATTTTATCAAAAAAAAATTGTTTTGCTAAAAAATGTCTACATAATGTTGGATATATTTAGTATATAATAGACATATAAATCTGCAAGTTTATGTAAAGGCTGTTAAAGTATTGGTAAGATTTTTTATTGTCCATGAGCGATCCAGAAAACTGTCAATTTGAACTCAATAAAATTATGCATCAACGCCACAAATCTAGCGTTGATGCAATTAAATATTGATTGCTTCCAATAATAGATAATTGCCACTTAGTTAAGAAAAGTCTCTTTAAGAAAGTAAAGTGTAAAGAAATCTATTATTAAAAATATTACGATATAAAAAGATATTATGAACAAAAGAGAGTTTTAAAATCATAAAGTATTCATGCTAACACACACAAAAGATAAAGTTACTTGTAAAAATATGTTTTAACAAGATAATATTCCAAAGCACTATATATATATTTAATATATATATAATTACATTTTGTATTTTTATCTTTTTTAAACACCTTTATAGATATTTTAACGAATTTCAAATTTGTATTGTATCTAATATTGTAGCAACATTTTTAAATCAATTTTGGTGTTGTACTTGTTCGATTAAAATTATGCCATTTTTTTGGTGAGGGTTCCACTTCGATATTGCGAATTCCAAATGAAGTCTCACAAACGCTGTAAACAATGTTTTGAGAAGTTTTCTATCCATATGAAAGTTCTGCTTAACATTCCAAGTATTTTATTTGCTTTATTTGATGCATACATAACTTGACTATGATATTTTGTCTTACTAGATAAAATAACACCTAAATACTTTTCATCGCTTGTACTACATATACTTGTTATTTCATTTGCTATTGATGGAATTGTATAATTATGATGTTTGTTTGATTTGCTGAGATGCATTACTTTGCATTTTGACTCATTCAAGTAAAGAAGCCATGTTTGGGACCATTTTGCAATTTTATTTATGTCATTTTGAAATACATTTATATCATTGATATTATTCATTTTTGCTAATAGTTTAGTATCCTCAGCATACAATTTATTTACACTTTCTAATAGTTCTGGCATATCATTAATGTATATTATAAACAAAATAGGACCTTGAACAGATCCTTGCAATACACCACCCTAAACCTCTTTCCATTCTGATGAAAATTCTGCCATTACCACTTTTTGTCAACGAATTTTTAAAAAAGATTCAAGCCACTTTAAAGTGTGACCAATAATTCTATAATTTAACAACTTCTAAATTAAATATCTATGCGGTTGAACATTGAGAGCTTCGGCAAAATCCATGAATACTACATCAACCGCATTTTCTTTAGATAATGAATAGGTATTCAAGTTCATTATTTCAATTAAATTAGTTGTGCATGATTTGTTATCCACAAAACCATGTTGATTAGTTGAAATTAGGTGATTTTGTACTAAGTGTTGGACCATACTGTCTTTGACAATTTTTTCCATAACTTTACTAACAACTGATGTCAAAGAAATTGGACAATAATTGCTTGTAATTAGTTTGCTACCTTTTTTTATATAAAGGTGTTATGTGTGCAGATTTCCAATCATCTGGACAAATACCTAATTGCATCGAAAGTGTGAATATATAACTTAAAGGGCTAAAACATATATATATATATATATATATATATATATATATATATATATATATATATATATATATATATATATATATATATATATATATATATATATATATACTAATTCACTCCAAGCAACACTGCAAGCAACCACTATTAAATTGTAAGTTATAAGAAAACAAAGAATACAATTGAAGAGCAATGTAAACAGAAAACTTGTAAAATTGAAGGTTGTGTGAGCCAAGAAAACATGAAGATGGGAGAAGCATTAAAGTGAGGAGAAAAAAAACTGAAGTGAGGAAGTTTTTAAAAGGGACAAATACACTACTTAATAGGTACATACATTATTATTAAACTAATGGAAAATTTAAGCGACTGTTAAAAAAATTTCAAAATGTAAAAAAAAGTGTCAAAATGGAAGATAAATGGCATTCTAATAATGCCACTAAATTATTTATTTTCTTTTTTCTTTATTTTACTTTCATTTCATTATTCAAAATTACTTTAAATAATATATTATAGTATAAATAATAAGGATATATAATTTATAATCATATAATTATAATATAAATATAATCATAAATAAATAAATAATAATCATAATCATTTATTAATCATTTATTAACCGCCTCTCTAATGTTTTTAAGTCAAATTTTTTTCATTAACCAGATTCATTAATTAATTTGTGTTTTTTTTTTTTCATCACATCTAAACATTGGGATGCCAACAGGTAATTGTAGTACTTATTTTGTAAATTGCAGCCGGTGATTTAAAAAAATAATGAATGCTACATAATTTTTTAATCTTAATTGAAACACACTATAGTACAAAAAACTTTTTGTTTCAGTTTTTTAAAATTTATGTTTATGCCTCTACATTTGTATAGGTTATGCATTTTCTCATAAATCCATTTCCTTAATTTTGGCAAGTAGATCAAAATATCAAAACTGAGTATTTTTATAGTGACTAACATACTTTATATATATTTTAAAATGAATAAAATATGAAATACTCTTATTATTCTATTTAAACTATAACAGTCTATCATAAATGAATTAACTCACTGAGTGATTTGTATTGTGTCCTTTCTGTTTATGAAATTGACATTAAATTAATAAAAAATTATTTTATTTAGAGAAAGCTAAAATAAACCTTTCTTAGGCTAAAATGAATATTTTAGCCTTAAAAATGAACATTTTAGCCTTGGGTTATGAACATTTTAGCCTAAAATGAACATTTTAGCCTTGAGCCATTTTTTATTGGAAATAAAGCAATACTAAAAATTTGATTTGATTTTGTCCTTATAATATTATAATATTCTTTGTAATTATAATGTTTTAATAACATGTCAAAAAACATCTAAAATTTAATATAACATGTCAAAAAAACATCTAAACTCTAAAAAACAGTCAATTTATAGTGCTACAGGCATAAAACCATAACTAATTTTGTAACAATTTTGGCTAAACTTTTTTTAATTGTTTGTGGTAAGTTTTTAGCAGATAAAGGTTTGTGTAACCTCCACATAGCTTTGTCTTAGACCATATTTATTGCCCACCTAGCTCATGTTTGCCAATTACATAATCATACCAAAAACATGGATTAAGTGAGCAATAAAGCTTTATATATGGTCAAAGCCTTAATGAGGTTACATAAAACTTTTTCTTTTGAAACCATATCAAGCATAATAAAAAAAAGCTAAAGTTTAAAGTCTTAAGCTTTAACTGTTACTCACCTGCACTTTGATTTAAAAATACATGCACTTGATTTATTAAAAAAAAAAAATTCTTTTTAAGGTTGTCAATTTGTAAAATAATAATTAGAGGGAAAGGGGCAAATGCCCATTTGCTATCTTTGCCACAGCATGAGGATTTTACAATATGCCTATTATAACATACACACTAGCACATTTCTGTTAACATATATATATACATACATATATATATATATATATATATATATATATATATATATATATATATATATATATATATATATATATATATATATACATATATATATATATATATATATATATATATATATATATATATATATATATATATATATATATATATATATATATATAATACTGTTAATTGTTCTATAAAACTCACATACAAACTAAAAAAATGTATATAAGTTCTGCATATATTTATAAAATAAAATATAAATATTTATAAAACTAAATGATTTAATCAGCAAAAAAATGTTTTATAAGATAGAACTCAACTTTTTAGTCATAACTATTCAAGAGTTTCTAAAATTGGCAACAGTTAAGATAATGAATATTACTTGATAAAAAAAACCATAAGCAACATCTTCACATTATAACTTTTTATATATATGAAATAGTTGATGTTCGTACTGAAGCTCATGACAGCAAATCATATTAATATGTTTTCAGGCTGCTTATCTAAACATGCATTTATAGTTATGGTCTATGTGTTCCATATTATAATGCATTTGGTCTGACTTTAAATTTTCCTTAATGGATCCGTGCTTTCAAGCCATTTTTAAATTATGGTGCTCATTTACTTCTTGCTTATTAATTACGAATATTAATAATAACTTTGCTTACAAATGACAGTGGTTATTTGTAAGTAATAATTCTCACTGTTATTGTTGAATACATATACTATACACATGCTATACCTGCATGTATGTACTTGTGTATTTGTGTATTAAAGTACGTGCATATACACTTTTACACTAAAATAGAAACATAAATGTTAAACAAATATATATATATATATATATATATATATATATATATATATATATATATATATATATATATACATATATATAACATACATATATGCTCATAACAGTGTGTGGTTTAGAATTAAATGCAAAAGATATATTTCATGTCATAAAATAATATTTATTTTAAAATATGTTTATAAATAATATAAACTAAATTTTATAAAACTAAAAGATAAATCATATAAATAAGATATAGTATATAATATAGGTTACTTTTATTATTTTTTATATTATATAAAATTCCTCTGCTAGCAGTTTTAACTGTAGGGTATAGCAGGGTTAGATTTGGGCATTAATAGCCTTGTAATAACAAATTAGGTCCTGCCATTAATCTAATGAAGGATATGAGAACGAAAGTTTAATTTATTGCTGGCATCAAAAACTGCCATTTACTTTTAACCAGCCAATAGCTTATTGCAGGTTTTAACAGAGAGAAGTGAATACAGTCATTTAAGAACATTAAGCACTCTTTTTGTTAAATACACTAATATATTTGATATATATATACATACACATATATATAAATTTATGTATATATACATAAATTTATATATAATATAAATTTACCTATATATTATATATTAATTTAATAAATTAAATATAATATTAAATATAATATAATTTTATGTATATACAATATATAAATTAAATATAATATTAAATATTAAATAATAATATTAAATATAATATTAAATATTAATATTAAATATAATATAAATTTATGTATATGTATATACATATATATATATATATATATATATATATATATATATATATATATATATATATATATATATATATATATATATATATATATATATATATATATTATATATATATATATATATATATATATATATACTATATATATATATATATTTTATATATATATATATATGTATATATATGTATGTATATATATATATATATATATATATATATATATATATATATATATATATATATATATATATATATATATATATATATATATATATATATATATATATATGTGTGTGTGTGTGTGTTAATTTGTGACCAAGTCACTAGTCACTAATGTTAAGTTTGTTGATGAAGAAAAAAAATTGCTAAAACCTAAGATAATTTAAAAAAAAAAGTCTGCACAACTAGACTGTGGTGGCCTCAGCCTTGTTTATTAAGATAAAACAATTATATTAATGTAAAAAAACCAACAATTTTCATAATTGATTCCATAAAACTGTTGCACAGATATTATTTATTTATTAAATGGCAAAACATGATAAAACCATTTTTATTTCCGATTTATTTCAAAAACATCAAATATGATAAACAAAAAGTTGAAAAACAATTTTTTATATTAACAGCAATAGTTATTTTCATTTATAGCAGAAAAACAAAATTACCAGTTTTGTAATAATATCAGAATCACTTGACATCTTTTTTTCAGTTAGTTTGCAGGCCTGCAACAGGTCTTTAAAACTAGAATTTTTGTTAAGGTCAAATATAATGTGGCTAAAAGCAAGACAGCAAGCTTCAAAACATTTTACTCGATCAACATCATAATCAGTTTCACCTGCAGCTATTGACATGATTTCAACAAAAACTTTGACTTCCTTTGGATCTACAATTTAAATTTTTAATGGCTCTAAAACAGCACTTATATTCAAATATTTTTATTATAGTTAAAACATTTATTTTTAATATGATAATTTATATAATAAATATTGATATTTAATATAATTAGTATATATTGATTATAGTTAAAACAAAAAACATCAAAAATAGATCAAAAATAAAATTTAGTGGAACAAATTTAGTTGTGTGCATTTTTTAAATTTAATCGAAAATAAAAAATAATATTAAACTATAATAAATAACTTGCAAACAATATATACACAATTTTTGTTGTTTTTATGAAATTTTAAATAAATATTTAATACAATTTCTGATTTTTCTGTATAATTAAAATTAAGTTTATTTATATTATAAAATTAAGTTCACTCAAATTATTAATTAAGTTTTATCTTATAATTAGAGTGAACATATTGCATCTCAAAACTTTATATGAAAATTTGCTTAATTTTGAAATGCATACCTTTTAGATTTTCTTTTAACCATAAAAAAAGTTTTAAACATGATGAAATAACACCAAATATTTCTAAAATGTTGGATGAAAAAGTTTCAAAGACACAAGCCAAATTTTTTATATTACTGTCAATATATTGCAAGCTTTCAATTTCTTCTATGGGTTTCTAAATGATATATGCAAAATTAAAAAAAATATATATTTTTTGCTGAAATTTAACTAGAAATATTTATCTTAATTTAACCAAATCTTAAAATATAAGATAAAAATGATGTTACCATCATGTTTTCAATAGAGGTAAAATCCCCACACAACTTTAGACCTTTTCTCACGTCTTGTATTGCACTTGCAACTCTTGAGTATTTCTTCATTAAAAACACACTATTAATTTTTTGAACACAATTTTCTATATCTGCTATATCAATGTTTAACTTAAGGAAGTTTCTTAACAAAGTAAATTCTGTTTTGAAGACAGGTTTATTGTATCCAGAAAATGTTGAAATTAAATCAGATAAACATATTTTACAAGAAACTATGCTTTCAAACAAAGTTTTCAAATTTTCAACTGTTGGTAAAATAATCTTTTCAAATAATTCCGAATAATGGATTTTTTCTTGAAAGTAATTTGTTGTTAACTGAACTTCTTTTTTAAACAAAAAACTATTTATTATTTTACAATCTCTCATGTGAGAAGCATCTTTAAACCAGCTCAATGAAATTTTGAAGTACATGCACAATTTAGTAATAAACCCTAGCTCTTCATTTGATAAAATATGACATCCAGACTCATCATTAATTGAAAAATCAATTGTCTCAGAAATTTCATCCGAAGAACTATCCACAAATATTTCTTTAAAACTTAGAGTTGAATAATTTAAGAAATACTCCTTTAATACTTCTGTTATAACTAAAAAAAAATATGTATATATACTGGTACCATTTTTAAATAATTTTTTTTTAACCATTAACTTTATAAAATCCCAATATCATATATATTTATTATAAAATAATTATTTTTGCAATATTTATATATAATTATTTCTATAATATTTATTATAAAACATTACTAAAGTATAATATTTTTTACTAATTTTTACTCATTGCAATGGCATTTTAAATTGTTTTTAGTATACCATAACTCGACTGAATGCATCAAAGTTTATACAAAACATAAAGTTACGGAATAATAAAATAAATAACTATATATATATATATATATATATATAGTTATTTATTTTGTTATTCCATTTATATATATATATATATATATACATATATATATATATATATATATATATATATATATATATATATATATATATATATATATATATATACATATATATATATATACATATATATATATATGTATATATATATATATATATATATATATATATATATATATACATAAACATATATATATATATATATATATATACATAGATATATATGTATATATATATATATATATATATATATATATATATATATATATATATATATATATATATATATATACATATATATAATATATATATATATATATATATATATATAACAGAATTTTGTTACTGTTTTTACTATTACTTTATTTTTTTAATATTGGTTTATTATTACGTATTATAGTTACAGAACATATATATATATATATATATATATATATATATATATATATATATATATATATATATATATATATATATATATATATATATATATATATATATATATATACATATATATATATATATATATATATATGTATATATATATATATATATATATATATATATATATATATATATATATATATATATATATATATATATATATATATATATATATATATATATATATATATAACAGAATTTTGTTACTGTTTTTACTATTACTTTATTTTTTTAATATTGGTTTATTATTACGTATTATAGTTACAGAACATTCCAATCAAATTAAACTAACATTAAACTAACTCCATAAACAAGGTTAAGGCAAAAGAAAAAGAAACTCATCAGTCAGACTCAGAAAAACTTAATTAAATAACTTACATGGTAAGTTGTTTAATTAAGTTGTTTAGTTAACTTTATTTAAGATGTTTGATTTTGCGGTGCGTTTTTTAAAATTAATTATAAAATAAATGTTATGATAAAGTTATTAAATATGTTATAATTAACACATAAGTTGTTCAAATGAGAGATGTACAGACTAAAATTACTTTCTACACCAGCATTCTAATGCTTATTTACAATTCCTAATATAGATAAATTTTTCTATCATCATCAGAAATACAAATAGAAAAGATGAGAGCAGGAGAAGTAAGTTATCGCTATTTCCTGTTATTTATACAAATTTATTCAAACTATATACAAATTTTTTCTTTAGAATCATTAATCAAAAAATATCAGGTAAACATTAGTGCAGTGTTTTGTATACATTTGTATCAAATACTACAGGTTTAGTATTTTATGTAAGTAAACAAAAAAAGCATACAGATGGATTGCATAGTTACATGCTGGCAAAAGCACAGAGTTGGCTGTTAATACCAATACTATATGTACCAGTAAATGGTGTTGTTTTACTAAAATTTGCTGTTAGAAGTCTGCTTTTGAAAAAAAGATTTCTGTTAAATGGCCATAACCTTGCTTTTTGAAAACTATTAATGAGATTTATCATTGTGACAGTTTCTGAGGCCAATAAGTGCAGCCATTTGAAATGAGTGACTACATGCCCTAATATATAATAGCTCTTGATTATTTCTTGATACTGTGGTCCTGTGCTAAGTAGCTTAATAAAAATCAAATTCAAGGGCTGCATTTGATGTGAGCAAAGAGGAAGCAGACACAGAGAATTACACAATTTTTCATAAAAAGAACTATACAACTTTCTTATTATAAGGTTTTTCATTTGAGATGTTTACTTTTAATTTATTCCAATTATTTATTTCAAACTATGTATAAAATATAATTTATATTATTAGGTATATTTGAATCAAGAATTTAAAGAAATGTTTTTTTTATTAAAATTTGTATCACACAATTAAAAGTTTGTTAAAGAGATCTGGATTTATATACAGTACTAAATCTTTTACCTACAAGTATATTCAACAAAACTCTGACATTCACTACATTTTTTAATAACTCCCATTTTTAAAGTTTTAACAATAGCTTGAATTTTTGTTCTACTACTAGTGAAAACAAATAATTTTAAAATAAACAATTTAGTCAATCAATCTTTTTAAGCTTTAAAACCTTGTTAATGTTAAAAAAAAAACAATCAAAAGGCTTGTTTTAGATTTCAATATCTTATATTCTGATAGACTTCATCTTTCCGTATTTTAATTTCAATGCTTCCATATTTTAATTTCAATGCTTTCCATATATTTTAATTTCAATGCTTTTAAATTCAATTGCTTGTTTTTTATTTAACTTTATATTTAGCTGGATTTTTTTATCAATTAAAAAATAGTGGCCTTGGCTTTTCTCAGAATTGTTTGAGACTAAAACCATTTTGATTAAAACTATAGGTAACTACCAGTTAATTAACTGTTAATTAACTGTTACATAACACTAAGACTAGTTTAAATTAGTCTAATTAAATTAAAATAATTTAAAAAACTCAAAAATTGTTTTATAAATAATAAAAAAAAACAGGTTATTCAAACAAATAAAAACTTTTATTAAGAATAAAATAGATCTAATAGTTTTTTGAAATATATATATATATATATATATATATATATATATATATATATATATATATATATACATATATATATATATATATATATATATATATATATATATATATATATACATATATATATATATATATATATATATATATATACATATATATATATATACATATATATATATACATATATATATACGTATATACATATATATAAATATATATATATACATATATATATATATATATATATATATATATATATATATATATATATATATATATATATATATATATATATGTAAATATATATATATATACATATATATATATATATATATATATATATATATATTATATATATATATATATATATATATATATATATATATATTAGAGTAATGCAAAATTTGTAGGTTCAAAACTTTAGTTGTCCTCAAGCTTGCCCTTGTTCTATATGACAATAGTAGTTATTGGCCAAAATTTGAATCAAATCAGATGATATTTAGGGGTTGCCATGTTTTGTCACATTTTGGTATAAGGTTACAAAAAGTAAAAAAAGTATTTTTTATTTTTACATTTTTTATATTATATTACTGAATTATTTATTATCAATTTCTTATTATTATGTGGTGGATTGTGGATGTTCAATGTTAAAAAAATCAATACTATAGTACTACTATGTAATTGCACTAGGCAATAATAAATCAATCATCTTCATCATTCAACAGTCATCTTCATCAGGGTAGACTTTGATGCAACTGGAAATTCCTTCCGGTGAAGATCAACCAATCTAAGAGAAAACTGCTTTTGGTTTTCATCTTTCGTAATGCTTGAGTTAAAGGATGTTATAAGTGCTATGCCTCGTTACGCGCAATTGTTGACGACTTTCATTTGACCAACCTTGTGCTTCATTTCAAGATATGTTGAATCCATTTCCCACTCTGAAGATTCTTTCATTAAAAATGATTCAGCTTTTTCTTTTCCATTTTTCAAAATTAGATCAAAAAGTTCTGCGGTGCGTTGTGTGACGAAGGAAGGCAATGGGCTGTAACAATCGAATGTGGCAGCATCAAGTCTTTTGAGAGATTTCTGCCTTGGCTGTTGTTTCAGGTTGTTTGCCATGTCTCTCTTGGTGTTGTTGTCGACACGGGAATCAAAGAAAGCCAATCCTATTAGATGTTCAGAAAAATACCAGAGGTGGCGATGAAAAGCTTTTGCTGCATTAATTGCAATTGTACGATTTGGATATTCTTGAATCCGTTGAAGAAGCTTGGCATCATTGAATGGTGCTCGTTCAGCTAACGGAGCTTCATTCCAAAACTGTCCGTATACAAATGCCACAAAAAGACTTATATCTGTTATTCCTTTCTTTTCCTTTGCAGTAATAACAAATTGATCGTGAAACAAATATATCTTTATACAATATATAGCTTTTGCCATCCAACGTGCATTGTGTGTTGCACCTGGAGACCGAAACTTCACTTTGAACTCCGATGTTGTAGTTGATCCTCCAAGAAAAATAAGGCACAAATTCAAGAGTTCTAAGTAATCATCCCTGGGTTGTTGACCTTTAATTGCTTGACTATAATATACTACCAATTCTTCACGGAGTTTGAGAAAAAAATCGCAGTTGTAAAATTCTTTATTCCCTATAGTGAACACCTCCTTGTTGATTGCTGGCCATTGTTTCTGGAAACGGTTAAAAATTCCAACTTCAGGTCCTCCACTGGTTCCAAATGCAGTCGTGAAAATGGTGGAAAGCATGACTTCAAACATATGGTGCCTGCATGCTATCCATATAAGATTACGGTCAAGATTCTGCTCCATTATTGTGCAGGCACCAATGTTCAACCCAGTGTTAGATGAAGTAGTGTCAAAAACCAGTCCCCGAACAAGTTCTTTCAATTTCCAGTCTTTAAGAGCCTTCATGCAAGCATCAGCCTGTTGCTCACCTGTACCTTGATCAATCTTTGGAACGCCCAGCAATTTTTCCACCCCACCACCAGTCACAAGGATGGCAATTCTATCCACTTTTTTTTGACCACCAGTGATATCAGGTAAGAGCTTTCCATCCCAATGCAGAAGAAGTGGATCATCAGGAGAGAAATCAACCTTGTCAGCTGTAGTCACCGCTTCACGAACAGATCGCCTTTTTCTGCGGATTGTGCTGTACGACAATGATAAATCTTTTACCGAGTGACCAAGAGCCTGAGACACTGTTCCAACCACAAAGAGTGCACAGCGATCAGAAATATTAACATGATCAAGAGATGATACAACATTATTTGTTAGAACTTTCATCTTCTTTTTCGTTGAACCACTTGTACTCAGTGTGCTGGAAGCGGAAGGAGTCTGATATACATCATCATCCGAGGAACTAGAGCTACTTTCACTCACAATGTCAACTGCTGATGAAGAAGAAATGAGTTCTGTTTTTTCCATCAGTTCCACTTGACTTCTTTGACGCCTCAATTCCATTTTAGTTTCTCGGACTCGTTTCCGTGCCTCCCTAGCTGTTAAATTCCGATCAATTCCTGCCATACTACAACTTAATGGATCTTCTTGCTGCTGACGTAAAAATGCTTTATCTTCATCGTTTTTCATAACTTCTGATGCATTCTTGGTTGAAATATCAAAAAGTTCTTCAAGTTCAGCGTGGAAAATTCCTTCTTTCATTTGACAGCTGTCCAATTTTGATCCTCGGTGTTTTTTCAGCAGCAGATATTCGTCATAAAGTTTTTTTAACTTTCTTTCCGCATTGTCAATTCTTTGAGTTGGAATTTTTCCTCTCTCCCATATAACAAGAACTGCTTCAATTGTTGCCCGAATACTTTTTTTCACTTCTTGTTTCTCTTCTATATGATGGAAGAGCAACCTCCGAAGAACATCCCCTCTTGAAGGAAGTCTGGCAGTCGACAGAGTTTGTGTAGGTTTACCAACAAGCCACACCTCAGCAGAAGATCTAGTGGTTGCCATATTATCAATTTCTAAATTATAAATAAATAAACAATGAAAAAACAAATTTGCGAAATTTGGGAAAAACACAAAATTTTACCAATGGTTAATTCATCTTATAAAACATGGCAACCCCTAAAATTGCTTCTTTTAGTCTTTTTGGTACACATAATCCTAGGTGATAAAGGAACACAGGCAACCTTGAGGAGAATGTTTTTTGTGACATTTTTTTTTTCTATTACAATCTGAATCACCCTAATATATATATATATATATATATATATATATATATATATATATATATATATATATATATATATATATATATATATATATATATATATATATACATATATACATAGTAATGCTATGATGTCACACTGATTTATGGGCGAGGCAATACATAGACTGATTTAGGGAGAATTTAATTTATTTTCATTCATTTTTTTTCAACTTTCTTTTTTAAATAACGCAAATGGAAAATAGTTTGCTAACCTTTTGTATATAAATATATATATATATATATATATATATATATATATATATATATATATATATATATATATATATATACATATAATATATGTATATATACATATAATATATGAATATATACATATAATATATGTATATGTACATATGTATTTATATAAAAAAAAACATAGTTTATGCACACATATATTATATGTGTGTAGAAACTATGTTTTTTTATATAAATAAAATTTGGGTATGTCTTACTTATTATCTCAAAATTGCATCTTAATTTTCTTTCTTATTTAATATTTTAGTGTTTTAGATATTTTATCAGAAAAATTAATTTAAATTGCACAATTATTTATATATTAGTATTTATAGTTAAATATATAATTAAGAAAAAGTTAAAAAAATTAAATGTTTTTAACAATATTTTAAAATATTTTTAAGATATTGTTAAAAACATTTAGTATTATTTTACGTTATTGTTAAAAACAATTATGTTTTTCACAATAATGTAAAATAAAACAATGTTTTCTAGATCTGATAGCAATATATGTGGGATCACATTCTCTAATTTCTGAAACCATCTGTGGGCACTTCAATTGCAGGATATATGATCCCCTATGGAATTAATTAGAGTTAATTGGAAATGAGCAAGTTGTACTGAAGTCACTGCATACTCTATATGTAGATACATTCATACATAAAGAAAAAGAGATAAAAATATATATTTTCTTTTTAGAAAAAAACATTTTTTTGTCATTGAAGTTCTGACAAAGTAATGTAAAAAAAAAAATTAAAGAAGAAAAAAGATATTACAAAATAGTTTCTAATTAATGCCAAGTAATCCATAAGTATCATTTCTTCACAGCAAAATCCTAAATCTTAGTCCATAGTTTAAGACATAGTTTATAAAACAATTTAAGACATTTAGTTCTTAAGATTTACAGCAATATTGTTAATATAGTGTTTATAGTTTAATAAATATATTTCTTGTTTTAAGAATTTAATTGCTTGATGGAAAATTTATTTCTTAAAACAAGCAATATATTTTTTGTTTTAAGAATTGAATGTCTTAAACTACGGACAAAGATTTACAATTTTGATGTATTCATAATTTCATTTGTATTCATGATTTTGCTGTATTAATATTTTCATTTGTATTTTCATTCATTTGTATTAAAGCGTTTCTATTTGTGTTGTTAGGTATATGGTTGGCTTTAATATGGAAAGTTTGAAAAGTTAAAATCCACAAAGCATAAAGTATAACTTATAAATATGGAATCTGTAAGCACTGAAAAAGCATTGTATTGAATCTGGATACTATGTGGAGAGAAAAAATAGTAAATGTAATTTTATATATATATAAAAATGTAATAATAATATTTATATATAAGTTAAAAGTTTGTTTATTTTTTTTAAACTAATTTTTATTGTATTATATTAATGTTTTTAATGTTATTTTTATACTGATAATTTTTCTCGTGGTCTACCATTTGATGAATTTATTTATGGTCCATTATATCAAGAACACAAGATACGATCATAATGTTAATAGACCACTGGTGTTGATTCAACGGTAAAATCAAATTTTTCAAAACAGTTGAAGTTTATATTATAAGCATATAAAATGTTCTAAAAATGCTTATGCAAAAGCTTTTACAATAATATGAAGCTTAAAAAAATTAAAAAAAAAGGTAAGCTTATGCAAAAAGTGAAATAAGGCTCACAATATATGCTTATCTTTCTTAATTCCACAGATTTTAATTTATAATCTATGTCATGATTATGTAATTTATTTTGTGTTTTAGGTATATGTTTGACTATAATCAAAAGAATGCAAGAAAAAAAAACAAAAAAAAACGAAAGAAAGATAATAATTATTTGCTCTAAAAGTATATATATTATATTTATATATAATATACTTTCTGGAAAATCTGTTGCCGGAAATTTCCATAAAAAAACGCGATATTGTTTTAACAATGTAGATAAAATAATTTATAAATTATTTTTTATAAAGCATATTAGAAAGCGCTATTAAGTAATAATTAAAATTTTAGTGACAATTTTGATGACATTAACTTTTAAATTGAATTGCAAATTTATACATTTGCAATAATAAAATTTAGTCTTATTTTGTTTATTATAGCATACTAACTTGGATACTTTCACTTAACCAAATGAATGAACTGTTGAACCAGCTGAAGTATAATATAATATTTTAAGAGTTCAGTTAATTTATAAACACTTTGTTGTACCTATAGCTAAATTTATAATTATAAATAGAGATAAAACTTACCAGTGCTTGAAAGTAATACTTTATTAAGTTCAACAATGTAGTCAACTACCTTCTTAACAAAATTTAAAGAATTTATTTGCTTCTTTCGTAAATTAAATCTTGCTTTAAAATCATTAAGAAAATCCACATTTAAGACTAACAAAACACCAAATAAAAGTTCTTGATTGTTTATTAGATCAATTAAAGATTGTATTGTAATTTCGCCACTATTAATAGCTTCAAAAACATAATAAAACACTGATTTGACTTCATCAATAAAAAGTTTAGTTTCCTCTATAGGTTTTCTTCCTGAAAAATAAAAATAAAAAGTTTAATTTAAAATGAAAAACAACATTAAATAGCTTATACTTTTAATATTTTTTCTTTTTCTTTCCTTATATATATATATATATATATATATATATATATATATATATATATATATATATATATATATATATATATATACAGTACTGTGAATATGTTTTAGACCACTTATATAATTAGTTGTATTTTCAATTTTTTTCCTGTGAATTTTTTTTTTTTAAGCATACTTAAGTTGAGTAATATTTTAGAAAGGTTAAAAGAATATATTATCTTGAATAAATAAACAAAAATTTATGAGGAACATGAGGGATATGTTTGTTTATTTATTAAAACGATAATTGTCATAATAACTGCAGACCAAGCGTTCATCTAAATAATGCATAAAAATAATATTTTCGATTTTTTTCTTACTGGTTCAGGTTATATTCGTTCATTTAAGTTTTTAACAGTATAAAATGTAGTCATAGAGTGAATTTAATACAATAATAATCGGTTTTGGTACATTTTTTAAAAAGTTGTTATTTTTTATGAATACAGTTAAACAAATAGTTAAAAATAATTAAATAAAGTTATTAGTTTACATTTTTAGATTAATTAAGTGTTGCTATGGGTAAAATATCTTTAATAGAGAGACAGAAAGTTACTGTGCTTCACGAAGAAGGTTATTCGCAGCGCCAAATTTCTTTCAAAGCAGGATATTTGAAGACTGCAATTAGAGAAATCATTAAAAAGTTTAGAGAAACTGGCTCCCTTGGAAAAAGAAAGAAAAGTGGCAGACCTCCTAAGCTAACAAAAGATGACGATAAATATTTAAAAATCCTTTCTTTAGGAAACAGGAAAAAAACATCCACCGAATTGGCAAAGGACATTAATACAGCAACTGGGAAAAATGTTAGCTCTTCTTGTATTCGACGACACCTACTCAAATCAGGATTACCAGGCTGCGTTGCTATTCGAAAACCTTTATTATGGCGTGGCAATAGAGAAAAACAACTTAAATATGCAAAACAACACAAAGATTGGACCCAGGAAATGTTTAATCGGGTTCTGTACACTGATGAGTCCAAATTTGAAATTTTTGGAACGAAAAGACGTCAATATGTTCGAAGAAGAATAGGAGAAGCCTATCAGCCCGAGTGTTTAAACCCTACTATTAAACACGGAGGAGGCTCTTTACAAGTTTGGGGCTGTTTATCTTCATCTGGGGTAGGTGATCTGATCAAAATAGAGGGACGACTCATCGGGGAACATTATGCGGATATTTTAAGACAGCATGCTATACCATCCGGAATGAGACTAATGGGCCATAATTTTATTCTGCAGCAGGACAATGACCCAAAACATTGTTCCCGAGTGGCAAAAAAGTATTTAAATGAAATGGCAGAAGAATGAATACTGGAAATGATGACCTGGCCTCCCCAGAGTCCATATTTGAATATAATCGAGCATATTTGGGATTACTTGGACAGGAAAAAGATCAAACATGCTCCCAAAAATGCTGAAGAATGTTTTCAAGTACTTCAAAGAGAATGGCACAACATACCGCAGGATTTTTTAACAAATTTGTATGAATCTATTTTCCGGCGAATATCGGCTGTGATTCAGGCAAAAGGAGGAATTTTAAGGGTTTTTTTATGAATTGTGACATTAAAAAGTTTGTTATTGTTCCATATTTTGTGTGAAATATATGTGTTTTAATAATTTTATAATATAGAATTCGAAACTTAAATATTAAGGAAGAATTCTCTTGGATTTTTTGAGAAAATGTAAGTGGTCTAAAACATATTCACAGTACTGTATATATATATATATATATATATATATATATATATATATATATATATATATATATATATATATATATATATATATATATATATATATACACACACATATACATATGAAACTCTTAGTACCACTAAATAGTTGGATTTTATTTGATATTTAATTAATATATCAGAATTATCAATACTATGAAAACATTTGTTTTCATAATATTGATCACATATATGCAAAACAAAAAAATTTTGGTACATTATTATACAAAAAACAATAAAACTAGATATATGTATGTATTATGGTGGCCCGAAAAATAACTTAAAGAAAAAACTATTCAAACTATGATAAGTAAAATATGTTGATTAGTTAAATTTTATTTTTAATTTTTTATTTAACACAGAAGGACTTTCAGGGTTAGGGTTAGGGTCCCAAAAATGGATCCAGCAGACTGGAAAACAAGACTCTGATAAGCACTTGTAAAATATTGAAAGTATAAACAACAGTTTCAGAAAGCACTCCTGCAAGACTATAACAGGGAAATTTCTTACAATACACTCCAAGCTGGAGTAATGCGAATGTCAAGCAATGGATTAACTTGTTTGTTTACTATATCAGGTGAGATGTGATTAGTGAAATCAAAAGATAAGATTGATAAAAAGTTCTTAGCAAACAATGCACCTTTGTCTTAGGTGGAAAAAGCCTTAGTCAGTTTTAATATAAGAAGAAGAATAAAATAATTACAACTAAATTTAAAACATAACTCGAAGTTTCATGCTATGTAATATAATACATGAAAAATAATACATCAGACAAAAAATAACCATAAAACAAAAGAATTATATACAAATAAAAATAATGTTAAGTTAGATAACTTTAAAGTTGCAAATAACAAACATTATTATTATTAGCATTATTAAACTTAACTACTCTTGTGTCAATTAAAACCATTTGTCGATGTATTAATGAGCTTGGCGAGTTCAAGTCATATTTTGCATGCAAGAAGCAATTAATCAGTCAAACGAACAGGGGTAAGATTGTAAAATGGGCCAAAGTTCTTCTTCATTGGACTGCTGATCAATGGCTTTATGTAATTTTTTCTGATGAGTCACCATATGTTTTACGATTTGTGGGGAAAAGATGTGTATAGTGCAGGCACAATGATTATTTTTTAAAGGAGTGTACTATTGCAACTGTCAAGCATGATGCCAAATTAATGGTTTGGGGTTGCTTTGCTGCTCACAGTGTAGGTAATTTATATCAAGCATACGGTATTATGGGGCAGAAGCAGTATCACAAGATCTTTCAGTATCAATTCAAGCCAAGTGCGAAAAAACTTTTTTCGCACCTGGCTTAAATTGATACTGATAATTTCCCCAGGGTGATTTTTATATTTCAGCAGGATAATGATCCTAAACATAATGCAACAAATAATAAAGCATATGTCATCAACCAGAAATGGGAAACATAAATGGCCATCACAGAGTCCTGATCTAAATCCTATTGAGAATTTTTGAAGTATCTTTGACTAACATTTAAAGTTTCATAGATGTAACACCCTTGATGATTTGATGGTTATTTTAAAAGAAGGATGGGAGACTCTGAAACCAGAACTTTGAAAACGTTTAGTTGATATGCCTCGAAGATTTGAAACCAGAACTTTGAAAACGTTTAGTTGGTATGCCTCGAAGATATGCGGCAGTTATTAAAAGTAAAGAATATATATTATAAATTTATTAAAAGAGTAAGTTATATTTACCTAGATGATCCAATAATACTTTAAAAGGTGGCCATGTGAGACAAAAATTTATTTTCTCATACATAGAACTGAAACATTTCCATTTCTTGCTAATAAATTTTATCAAAATTGGATTGTAACTTGGAGATAATCTATAAAACCAGTCATATTTTTTCTAAAAAAAAAAAAGTTTAAAAATTATTTAGTTAATATGACACTTCACTACTATCAGATATATTGTTAAAAAAAATTTTTTTTAATTTTTTCAACTTTTTTTTATGTTGTTGAATGAACTAAGGTCTTAAAAGCAATCACTATTTAAGTTGGGAATTAAATAAAAGCAAGAGTTGACAGAAGACTTAAAAAACTGTTAATTGTATAGAACTGGAAACATGAAATTAAAAAATGATGTTCAAGAAAAAAAAATTAAATAAGAGTTTTTTGTAAATGAAGGAGCAAAAAAAAGTAAAAAAGGATGCAACTTTACTGAGTTGTTACATCAACCTCAATGTACTACTTAACAAGCTATTATCACTTCCATCAACCAAAATACAATCTTGTGTGACAAGTCACTTGAGATTGAATTTTGGTTGATAGAACAAACAATAGCTTGCTTGAGCAGTGACCATGGTAACATTTGCAGAAATAAGAAAGAGATATAATTTTACAACAATGAGGCAGAGATTCATGCTTGGAATGCTAAGCTTGCAACAAGTTTATATTTAACTTAAATGAGAGGTCATTAGTGAAGAATTAAAATAAGAGTTTGATCTACTTTGTGTCTAGTTTTTTTTACTTTTTTTTTACAAGCATTGTACTCAGACTTGATTTTTGTCAAGACCAGTGGCTGTTAAGTCTAGTTGCAGTAGCTGTTGAGTTTAGTTGCAGCGGCAGTTGAGTGTGTTTACAAAAAGCTTACTGTGACTAGTTAGTGTTGAAGTTTGATTTAAAACATATTTGCAATTGATGAAAAACTACTATCTGTATACTGCAGTTCAAAAAGGTATTGTTGTGTCTACTATCTTTTTTTATCTACTATCAAATAACTTGCAACTGAGAGCAAAGTTTCTGAAAAGGTAGCTAGTGAACTGATAAAGAAGCAGGCTGTTTGTTAAATTTACTTACCAGTCTCTCACTTCATACCAAGTACTATAGTTAATAAAAATAGTTCTAATGCACTCCACTAGACAAAGTTGATTTGTTTACCATAAAATGAAATTGGTTAGCACATTTACAAGTATGCTTTGACAGTTGTTAATGTGGCAAGCTACTATAAGCATGGCAAGCTGCTAACTAAGAAGACTTCAATAGAATTTGCAGATGCTTTGCAGATGCCAAAATGCCACAATTGCTTAAGGTTGATTTTAATCATATTTTTAGCTAAACAACTATTTAGTATGCTCAAGAAATGGTAATGGTTGCACATCAAATCTGTAAATATTGCCCACACTCTATCATAACCTGCTGGTGACTAACCTACTTTCTGTCACTTTTCTTGCATTATCTGTACGTGTCAGGTGAATTATTCACTACAAACTGTACATGCTGTGTATCCCCTTGTAAAAAGATTCACGCATTACTTTGTTTGTAAAAATTGTTTTTCATTTAGTATTGTACCAAATCTAAAAAAAAAAAAGTTTCATTGAGAACATCCTTTATGCTAGTGCCCTCTGCATTCATAATACTCCCAGATTTTGGTTATCTAATTCGATCCATTTTTTGGTGTCAAGAGGAATCAAGAGCGATGTTTTTATCTGTTCATAAAAACCTATTTGGTTATGGTAGCTATTGCAACCTGTGCATGCATCAATTCTTTATGGTCATCTAAACACTTTTTTGTACAATTTGTCCTTCAAATTCCTTTTTTACAACAGTCTTCCCACACTTTTTGCTTTCCTTTAACTTTTTACAAAAGCTTTTGGTGTTGAAATTTTTGTCAGGGCTTGAATAGATCAGAGTTTTTAAGTCTCTTCTTCTATACTCCTTGAATACTGTTGCTTGTAAACAACAGTATTTAAGGAACAACTGATTTATGGCCAGCATATGTTCTTTGAATTTGTCAAATGTGTAACAATAGATCAAAACGGTATACCCTCTTTGTGAGTTTTTGTAATCCCTATAAAATTAGGCAGCCTGATACACCCTGTGTATCAGGTCATAAAAAATTTGCTGTTGTTTTGTTGAATATGTAGTGGACAACCATGTAGTCTGTTAGAGTATTTGCATCATTGAGTATTCATTGGATTATGCAGCAGGAATCATTTAATATATCCAGTATTAGTATCATTTAATAAATGGTTTATTTTATTCTCATAATGAAACCTTATCTAGAATACAAACCCCACCTTTATCTGCTCTTTTAAACATAATTTCTTTATTATTACATAGTTTCTCTAATGCTGTAGACTCTACTAGTGAAAGATTGTTGGTAACTTAGGGTTTAGATTTTTTCATAGTTGTCTCAATGTCTCAATCAATCTGTAAAAAATATTTATTTATGTTATGGTTATTCATATTTAGAGGTGTCCATTGCAATTTTTTATGGAACGGATGAGTTAATTGATTTTTATTTTATATCTCTTTCAAAAAACATTTTTAAATTATTGGATCATTTAAATCTTTTGCTTCACTAAATAAATTACCTAAATCACTAAATATATTAATATAATTCCAATAAGATATAAATGAAATACTTTTGTTTAGGATTTGTTGTTCCACATTTAACAAAACAAAAAATTATGCTTGGTTTGCAAGTAGTCTTACAAATCTCTTTATTCCACTGCTGCAAAACAAGACCTTTATTATATTATATTTATTTTCATAGATTTCTTTCTAAATAGAGTAGTCTTTTGAAAGTCTTAAGTAGACTTAGTCCTCAACTTAGTATTCAGTTAGATATATGCTGTTACCCACATTTCTGGTCAGTACTTTAATGCCTTATTGATAGAAGTTATACTTATTATAATTTGCGCCTTTGCTTCTTACAATTTTTTACTAATACTCAATCATTTTTCTACATAGTAATTTAAATACCCTTGCAGCATAGTGACAGGTCTGTGCCTGATCTTTCTTTAGTTATGACCAAGTCTCAGTCTAGCATTAGGTTAGTTGACAGATTGTCTAGTATATCGTTCATAAACTGCAAGTTTATCATTTTAATGCCACAATATAGTAAGAATCAATTAAAATGTATACTGAAATTTTTCTCCAAAGCTAATGTAACCATTTGGATTGGTTTAAGCAATTCAACTCAAAAAAACAAATGTAGCAACAAAACAGCATCAGCACATATGATTTAACTCATGGTGTGCAAAAAAAAAAATTGAAAACAGACAAAAAATATTTTATCAAGAAAGACTATAAAAAATATTTGTTTTGAAAGCAAGATAAATTTGTAGATAAAAAAAATTATAATTCTAGCTAGCTTTCTAAGTAATTATATATAATTTGGAAGATGGTGACTTTTTTATACGTCAATAAAAAGTTATTTAACTTAAAATAAAGTTGTTTTTTATTTGATATTGAAATTAATTATTTGTTTAAATATGTTTAAAACCTTTTGAAGTTTTGTCAAAAAAGCTAACTTACCTCTACTGTGTCGTATATTTTTAAGATATTTATAATTGCTTCTTTTAAACTTTTTTAAAAAACTGAGCAAGTTAGACCTTATATATTTAGGTGACTTTAAAAAAGTTAAACAACGATTATTTTTTTACTGAAAATATTTATAATTTTTGGTAAAAAATAAAAAGCAAATTGAATTTTGTACTTATAAATTTTATTATATTTTGTGTGTTTTAGCAAAAGTGAAGTAATAAACTAATAGGTTTAAAATAAGGTAATGAAAACAAAAATAAACAAAACTAACTATGGTCATGTATTGAATATAATTGAAGAATCTTTTATTCAAATAGACAGTGTGTTAGAGCAATAAATGTCAATAGCTGTGATTAAGCAACAAAGTAATAATAATAAAAAATGAAATCAAATCAAATGAGTTTCAAAATTGACTTATGCCATTTGTATATATTATTCATGTCTTAAGATAGTAAAAACGTGAACTTTTGGATATGGCATTTGGACTTTTTCTTTATGCTTAGGATTTTTTTTTACTTTTATTAAAGTTAATAATAATAATTTTTCTTCTATTTTAACTGTAGTTTTACTTGTGTTGAATTTATGAACTAAACTACTTTGTGAGAGCTCTGAATTTTATTCATAAGCTATCTTTATCAAAACACAAACTTTTTTAATAAATTGTTAATAAATAAAACATCTTTGCTTCCAACAAGGCTGCAAGCAACCACTAATTAAGCAAGATAATGATTGACAGATGACTTAAAAGATTGCAAATTATATGAATCAAGAAAGCAAGATGAAGAAAACGAATTCCAAAGAACTGATGATTGAGAAAAAACTAGATGAATAAGACTTTTTGGAGCACTTAGGAACAGTAACAGAAAAAGGATGAGACTTAATTGAATGACAAGTAACACGAGAATGAATTTTAGTAGATAGCACAAAAGATGCTAGCTCTTTAGAGCAGTGCCCATTTTAATAATTGTAGAAAAGAGAAAGAGAAGCAACATTATGGCGATGTGATAATGGTTGAAGGTTGGCTGCAAGAGCAGGTCCAACTATGTTTACAATGCGTTTTTGCATCTTGCCTAATTGAGAAAGGGCATCATTAGAAAGTTGGCCCCAGATATGGCAATAGTATTCCATACAAGGTTGGATTTGAGATTTATAGAGATAGAGATTAGAATCCAGAGTAAGAAAGTGTCTAGCTTGATAAAGAGATGCAACTTTAGCAGATGCTAATTTTGCAACGGATTTAATATATGGTTTCCAATAAAAATTAGAAATAAAAGTTAATCCTAGAAGATGAAGGGTAGATGACTCATCAAGTACATTACCGTTCATAAATGTAGGAAGATCTAAATTATTGTGATAATGATTGGCTGAAAAAAATTGAGCTTTATCTGAATTAAAGTTCACCAGCCACTGTAAGCCCCATGCTGTAGCAGAAGTGAGATTCTTTTCAAGCTCAAATGCCCCTGCAAGCAATCAGAGGAAGTTGGCTTCTTATCATGACAAGACTAAATGGTAGTATCATCAGCAAATAATGCAACCTTAGATATGAGAATATCTGGAAGATCGTTAATGCAAATTAAAAAGAGTATAAGGCCAAGGATTGAACCTTGAGGAACCCCTGAGGTTACAGAATAAGAAGAAGAGTGCTGTCCATCAAGGGCAACTTTTATACTACGATTGGTTAGAAAGGATTCAATAATCTTAAGGATGCTTCCAGATACACCGTAAGTTGATAGCTTATGGAGAAGACCAGCATGCCAAACTTTATCAAATGCTTTAGAAATGTCAAGAGCGATGGCCTTAACCTCTCCACCTTTACCTGATGCATGATAAAACCTATTGGTTATTACTGTTAGCAAATCAGCCGTAGTGCGAGAAGATCAAAATCCATATAGATTATCAGAAAGTAAGTTATTAGATTCAAGATTAGAGATTAAGTGTTTGTTAATTAAAGATTCAAAAACCTTACTTATAATAGGAAGAAAGACTAATGGGACGGTAGTTAGACAAATCAGATTGCTCTCCAGAATTCTTAAAAACAGGGATAACAGATGCTGCTTTCCAGCAGGCTGGAAAACAAGACTCTGATAAGCACTTGTTGAATAGTTTTGAAAGGATAGACGACAGCTCTGGAGATAGCAGGTTTTGGCATTAGTCAAAACCATTTTTACAACGGTTCTTAGCAGTAATAAACAGACGTCTGTTTTCTGGAGAATTGTTTTGCTGATAGTTATGCAAGTAATGGTTTTAATTGACAATTGCAGCAGCCCAATATGAGGAAAACCATAGGGAAGAGTGAGGCTTGACCTGGAATCATCGAGAAGGAATAAAGGATTCCATGCCAGCCTGAATACACAAAGTTATGTAAAAAACACATTTATCAACAGGAGGACGAAAGATTTCTACCCAAGAGCCATCACAAAGAAAATCACGGAAAGAGTCCTAGTCAGCTTTAAGGTTGTTGTAAAATGTACAATGGTAGGGGGATTCTGATGGTAAAGAAGAATGAGATAATAGTTTAAGAGAGATCAAACTGTGATCAGAAGCACCTAAGGGTGAAACAAGACATAAGTCGAGTAATGAAGGTAAATGATTCAGGTTGTCTGGAAAGCAAGTTGGAAAGTTGACTATTTGAGTTTGTGATTGAGAAAGGCAAAAGTTGTGGCCTTTAATGCCTGCAGAGTCACTGACACTAGAGCCAAGCCATTCTGTGTTATTATCATTTAAGTCACCAACAACAACAATATTGGCTGATGGATAAAGAGAAAGAGCTTTGTCAATATGATCAAAAATAACATCAAGAAGATAGTCTTCTTTAAAGGAGAGCAATATAGAACAAAGAGAAAAATAACATCAAGAAGATAGTCTTCTTTAAAGGAGAGCAATATAGAACAAAGAGAAAGGTGATAGAGTGAAGTGGTGCTAAATGAAAGCACTTAAAAAAGTAGTCTGTGGGTTGAAACCTAGTTTCTTGACATATGGGTGAATTATTACGAATGTAAATTCCCAGGCCAAGCATGTGAATTTTCAAATTTGTTAAAGAACTTGACTTGAAACATAGATAGTACTCAGTACACTGTTTATTAGCCCAAGCAATTGCCTCATTACTATTAATAAACCCTAAGCCATAACACAGAACTCCAATGTAGCCTTGGCAATGCACACCAAAATTTCAAACAGGAACACCATCCATGCGCAACATGGCACTGTTAATACTTTGACATTTTTCTGCTATTGATGGAATCAGCCTCTCTGAAAGCTACCACATAATTTGGGAAACCTGACTACCAGCCGGCCTCAGAACCATAAAACTGAGTTTTAGAGCTGCACCCTCATTAGGAGATGATAGAATGAGTTGCTTAGTCATAAAAACAAAGACACAAGCAAATCCCATGCATCGAGTCAAAAAGATCCAGCATTCAACATCCTAAACTAGAAACAATGTATTAAGAATATGCGCCAGCCTAATAGATGAAGAAGGGGTGTGAGGCTGGTCAACAGATAGAATCTGTTTACCCCTAAAGTATTATTAATCTTTTAGCATATACCTCGTTAAAACATATTATAAACCGAAAAAAAGGTTTTAATGTTTACTATTATGTTTTAAACAAATTTTAATTTTTAATAAACATATTTTAATTGATTAAATAAATAATAAATTTTGATGAAACCAAAAATTTGCAGACAAAATATTTATATTTAGAAAATAATTTTTCAACGATATTTTATTGAAATCTATTACTAAACTTACAATCGAGAATGACTTTGTACCTAGGAGACATAATGTCAACTAAATTAATGCAAACATCAAAGGAAATTGAACTGCATAAGCTTATTTTTATCACTAAAATGTTTTATTTGGTTTTTCTGATTGCATTCAAATCTTTGTGATCCTGTAATTTATTTATATATATATATATTTATATATATATATATATATATATATATATATATATATATATATATATATATATATATATATATATATATATATATATATATATATATATATATATATATATATTGATTTTTCTAGAAATTTTTTGTATGAAATATTTGGATTTTGCAACCATATTAGTAACCTCATTTTTTTTTCAAATAGTTATTTGCCTTCATATTATTATTATTTTTTAAACAAATTATCTTTTTTTATACTTCTTTGATGATATTATTTCAATTTCTTTATTAATAATTTTTCAATTTTTTTAATATATATACACTTTTAGATTAGATCATTAAGTCAAGTAATTATTAATAGAAAAAAGATTTTTTTTTGCATGTTTATTCTCTTCTATTTCTATTTATTTTAAATTTAAAAAAAAAAACAAGCTTTTTACCTGTGACATTTTTTCGATGACAAAATAAAATGATTCTGTAAAAGGTTCTTGGATTAACTTTTTGTATGATAAAATATCCAATTGACAATAAGCTTCTAATAAAATACTATTTTCTGCACTTTTCTAAATATCATAATAAATTACATTAAACATAAACAAATCTGAAAAAGTATCAATTAATCTATTTAAAATTACAATAAGTTGTAATTTATTACAGTCTGAAATATATTTTTAGCGGTTATACTGTTCATTGCTGTTTATTGTCATAGGGGACCTTCTAAAAGAACTCCAAATGATACCTTTCTTTTGGTCTAGATCATATCAATTTCCACCACCTTAAAACTTGTCTGCCAATACACCATATTATTGACTCATATCTCAACCAAATTTTTCAATATACAACAAAATTTTAAAAATAATTTTTATAAAAAATTGAACAAATTAAAGCTGTTCCTCCACTCAATAAAAATTTTAATCATTTTATTTAATCATTTACTGATTTGATTTTTTCACCCAATAATGGTTTAATAGCAATCATCATACTCTAAATTCCAGCTTTTTACGTATGCTATCACTATCTGAGATCTGAAACAATATGACTTCAATATTTGTTTTTACTTCCGGTTACTAAATAGTTTTTCATCACTTCTTAGTAAAATATACATTAACAAAAAAAGATTTTAAAAAAACCTCTAAATTTTAAGCATTTTGAAGAAAAACTCAAATTTTTTTTTAGTTTGAGTTAAAGCTTATTAGCTTAGTTAAACATATTTATAACATCTTTAGAGTCATTGTCAGACCATTTATTGTTTATTGTGACAGTCAATGTGTGTGTTTATGATAAATTTAACTTATTATTTGCATTTTTTTTAAAAATAGTATAAAAATTTAGTTTTGTTTTTACATACAATTTTATTTTTCAAAATATCACATGCAAGTACTTTGAATTCGTCTCCATTTGTAATTTCTAAATCCGCAAGCATTTCAATTACCTAAAAAAAATCTTTGATTGATTTTTATATTGAGCATTATATTATAAACATTATTTGACTCATTTGTATATATTATATATTACATTATAAAGCATATTTGTTTTTAATATATTAAAGTTATGTATTAGAAAATTAAAATTAAAAGTATTTTAACATTAATAATAACTCAAATACTTCATACTTAAAGATATACCTTCAGCTGTGATTTCAAATTGGGGACTGTACTCCATGAGGTGTGGTATTCACCAAACATAATTTGAAGCCTTTTTATAACATGTGGTATATGGTTTTTAATGCTTTCATTAAGTTGGGTCAAATCTTTATTTGAGAGATCAATCATTTTGTAAAACGTATTAATACAATAAAACATTATAAAAAACAGGCTGCAACTGTCATCATTAATATCTATCATGTTTAAAATCACAAGTAACATATTAATGAGTGCCTCAACCAAATGTGCTCTAAAAAAAAAAATATGTTAAAGAATTTGTAAGTATTTTATTAGTTTTTATACTATAGACAATGCTACAAACCTGTTGCAATTTCTTTCAACAAAATTCAAATTTAGCAATTCATGTAAAAAATTTTTACAATGGTTAATCTAAAAAATAAACTATATATATATATATATATATATATATATATACATATATATATATATATATATATATATATATATATATATATATATATATATATATATATATATATATATATATATATATATATATATATATATATATATATATATATATGTATATGTATATATATATATATATATATATTTATATATATATATATATATATATATATATATATATATATATATATATTTATATATTTATATATATATATATATATATTTATATATATATTTATATATTTATATATTTATATATATATATATATTTATACATATATATATATATTTATATATATATATATATATATATATATATATATATATATATATATATATATATATATATATATACATATATATATATTTATATATATATATATATATTTATATATTTATATATATATATATATATATATTTATATATATATATATACTTATATATTTATATATATATATATATATATATATATATATATATATATATATATATATATATATATATATATATATATATATATATATATATATATATATAACTTGTTCCAAGGGTTCCTAGGGGTTTGCTTTTGTTATACATATGTATCTATACAACAGGTGACTAACTTAACTACTTTCATCTTGTCTATGCTTTGAATTATTGTTGTAGTAACTTTTAAGTATGTTTTTTTTGTTAGACAGAAATAAATAATAAAAATATTCAAAAAATGACAAAAAAGCATACCTTACATTTTGGAAAAAGATCAATCAGTCCAAAAAATAAAAAAACAATCAGTGGGTAGCAGCTATGGCATGGTATAAAGATAAGAGTGTAAGAGGGCAGTGTGCCCTTAAATCAGGATATTTCTGCTTGAATAAAGATAGAGAAACAATACATTGGCATCTGGGTGGTAAAATAAAGTCAGGAAAAGAACAACAACATTGCTATATATTATTAGAAGAAGAAGAGAATTCAATTGTACGTTTTATAAAAAATAAAAATAGATCCTTAGGTGTCAATAAAACACAACTGACCAAATTAATGTTAGATACATTGAAAATAAAAGATTACAAGAACTACTGCATATAACAAGAAGTTATATGCAGTAGTGGTGTAGTGGTGGAGTGCTCGCTTCATATGCAAAAGGTTCCGAGTTCAATTCCTACCACGCCCATGGTAGTACCGCGCTCAACTTGTTTCTCCACACAGTGGCCTTGTTTATCAAGGTCAACACTCTTCTTTATTTCTAGTAAATTCTGGGGTACCTCAAGGTTCTATCCTTGCTTGGTCCTGTTTTGATTCTTATCTACATTAATGATCTTCTCGACAACCTTACATTTAAAATAGCTCTTTTTGTTAATGACTCAACTTTATACTCCTGTTTTAATGAAAAATCTTTTCTTTTCGATTGCTTAAAACAGGGTTTCATAGTAGCTTGTAAATTTTAACTCCAACTAACCCAAGTTATTTATTGCAAACAACTATCGCAGTACTGTAGACATTCCTATGTTAATGAATAGCAACCCTCTCCAAGATCAATAATCCAAGAAGGTATAAAAAAGAGGACTAAGTGTCCTTTAAACTAAGTTACTACTGCTCTTTCATGGAAACCATATATACAATCGATTGCAAAAATAGCCTCTGCTAAGGTTTCTTCTCATTGTGCTAGTCATTTTCTTACTTCTGATTCCATTCTCTACTTATCTTCACCTCTACAAATCTCTTATTTTCATTCGAATAATGCTGTCATTCTTAGGCTTGTTCTTCTAGGCTCTTTCTCTTCTATACAAGGTCAAAAAACGTATTTTAAATGTAGTAAGACCCGCTCTATCTGCTAAGCTTAAGTCTCTATCCCATTGTTGTAAAGTTCCATCTCTTTTTTTTTCTACAAGAAAATAGAAAGAAATGGAACTAAAAACCAGAGAAAATTTTGAAAAAAGTTTTAAAAAAGTACTTTAGGAAACAAAATTATTAATTTTTTTTTCTCATTAGCTTGAACTATTAAAAACAAAAAAATTTCGTTCTCCAACTTATTATGTTTATATGGGCATGGCAACTAGCACAAAATGTGTTTGTATGGTTTTTTGGGTTTTTGTAGTGCATATACCTGTATTTGCAGGCAGTAGCATTAAGATTTCTAGAATTTTCTTGAACCTTATGGAATTTTATAGAATTTTATTGGCTTTTCTGAATGTTTTTAGAAATCTTTTACAAATTTCTAAAATTTTATGGAGTCTTCTAGAAGTTTAAATAAATTAGCAAAATTTGACAACATAAGCTGTCTGATTGAGCATCGCTAATAATAATATATAAATCTGTATTTAACAGATGGTAGTCAAATAAAATAGAAGTACAATAGCAATTATATTTATTACTATTGTCTTTCTGAAATATATTCAAGTATTATCTTCAATCATAATGTCCAATAAAAAAAGTGATTCCACCATATTTAATTCCATCCATCCATATGAAGAAAATTGTCTATGAACTCTACTTTAACAAAGAACTTTCAAATCCTAGTCTGAGACAGAATATCAGAATTAGAAGATTCAGAAGAAAAGTCCACAAGTACCAGCAAGAACTACAGAAAAACTAAAAAAGCAACCAAATATATTATCTTATAATGGGATCAACACTTAACACCTTCACCGCCTGACATATTTAGATCAATTATTTTTGAAGCTTTTTAACTTAAAGAAAAAATCATGAAAAAACTAAAAACAAGAAATTGGTCACTGCAATGCAACTAAAAACAAGAAATAACCAACCAACCAAGAAATAACCAAGAACCAACCAAGAACCAACCAAGAATATCAAGTCTTAGTGTTGAAAAATAAATAAAGAAAAGTTAAATTACAAGCAAAAAATCAATAAGATAGAAAAAAAGATACTGTTTTTCTGAAAAACAGATACTGTTAACTTTTATTGATTGTCAACAACATGCTCTTGATCAAGTCCATTGTGTTGTAATGGATGAAGAGCTTGGAGAAAACAACATTTTATTGAATATCTGTTTATACCAGAACAGCTAAGAAAGAGTTTCAAGAATGGTAAAGAAGTGATTACTTAAACAGCAGGATGACATGATGATATCAAATTTTTATTTCAAACAACTCTACTTTTTTGAAAAATCTGGAGTATTTCCTAAAGTGATGTTTCAGAAAATACCTAAATTAAATAATGCAAGTTGGAATCTTTTTGTATTTATTGTTATACAAGAGAAAAAAGGCTCACTACTCGATATTTGTAGGTTCATCTCTTTCAAATTACAGATTTGAATTCTTTTATTTGGAATTTGCATGGGTTTATCAGTGTATTATGTCCAAACATGAGCTTTGAATGGTATAATTTTTTTTGCTTCAGGTTTTTTTAATATTTAAAGAAACTTTTCTTTTTTTATATAATTTTCAAAACCTTTTTACTACCCGTAATAGCGAATCTAAAGAACACCATTTTGGGGGACCATTAGATTATTGACCAAATGTAGAATGCAAATAATTATTGGAAGCTATGTAGTAGATTTCACAATCACCAAAAAGCATTCAACTATATACTATAAATTCCTAAAACATAATGAGCAATAAAGTATCTTCAAGATTTTTTTGTATCTGTAAAGAGAGAAATATAACCTTCAGCTAAGATTTATTTTGTCTAACAAAACAGTAAATTACACCTTAATTAAGCTGAATTCAAGCACTTTTTTAAAACAAGTGTAATAATAAATGTTTTTTTAGCAATAAAATGACAGAAAAAAAAAACATTTTATAAAATAATATTTAATTTTTATTTAATAATTTAGTAATTAATTAAATAATAAATAAAAAACAATATTCAAATGTTAAAATATAATCAATTGTTCTAATAAAACAACAATATATAAAAAACTGTTCCATATCAAATGTTTATTTTATAAAAACAACTATATGATATATATATATATATATATACATATATATATATATATATATATATATATATATATATATATATATATATATATATATATATATGTATATATATATATATATATATATATATATATATATTTTATGAAAAATTTATATACATATTATAAATAAAAAGAAATACCATATAATTTAAACATTTAATTGATTTCAAATGATAAGTCATTGCATTAGTCAGAAGACATTCATTAAAAACCCCAATTTTTAATGCATCAACAAAATGTTTGAACTCCATAAGATAAACAATACTTCTCTGAAGTAAATCATCTTTCTGTAAACTTCCCTTGATTTTTTGAAAATTGTTCAAGGTTAATCTAAAAATAAGTTTATTAACTATTAACTGGCAATGCTCTGTATGTGTAATTTTCTATAAATACTCTTTAAATGTTAGGTCTCAATATTTAATAAGTCCTGAATCTAAATTTAGATAAGTATTTTTTTTTAAGGCATTAAAGACTAAAAACATGTTTGATGATTAAGATGAATTAATGATTAAGAAGAATTAATGATTAAGAAGCCGTTTTGAAAGAGTGTTTCTGACAATACGTATTATCCAATTTGGATCTGTTACATTGACTGAAGGTTTAGGAGTTTTTATATTTTTAAAAAAGGTTTCTGGTCTTGTATTTTAACATTTTAAGTCAATAAAATATGGTAAAGCTTTCATTTTTTACACTTTTAGATATGCTTTTTGATCTGATAGAAAATAAAAAGTTTTTGTTGCAACATGTCTGTAAGCCCTTAGTGTTGCAATCAGTCTCTTGAAAAGTTTAACTTTTTACTAGTATGATTTCTTTCCTTTCTTGTTTTCAGATTTATCTGTTTGGTTGAGACAGATTGTTTTGTCATAAACCTATATAAACAAGTGTTGTTTATATATACAGGTGAATTATTTCAGAATCTTTAGTATACTTTATTTAGAATTTAATGTTTAAAGTTCAGTTAAAATTTGTATTAAGTAAACAATTTTTCTTGAAAAAAAAGAAATTTAAAAAAACTAGGCTAGCTATAAAATTTCATAACATTATATGGCTAGAAAATTTTTTAGCGTTAGCTAATAATTTATTAAAACTAAACAACTTTTTTTAAAGCAATAAATACAGCACCACAAAAATGTAAAATAATACATCATTTAATTGCACAGCCTTTACATTTCAACAATATCTCTTTTTTTTTTCCAAAACTAATTTTAATTTTATATATAAATAATATTACCTTTTCATTTTATTGTATATATATATATATATATATATATATATGCCAATTAAAAATGTTCTTGCCCAAAAAAATTGGACAAAGTAAATATCAATTTCTGTTGATGCGCAACTAAGAGAAGTTTAGTTTTTCGCTGCTGTCTCAAAATCAGTTTACTCTAACTTAGTGCATTTTACAAATGGGCTCCTATATACATGTGTCATACATCATATATATGTATGCATATGATGTACAGCACGTGTATATGGGAGATTGAAGCACCATTAAATATTGCAGTTGTAAAGGCACCTTATGAGTTTTGATATTTTCTAAGATGTACTTTTATATTGTTATATTATAGAGTTATGTTTTGACAAAATAAATTATATCATTAGATATTATTATGCAAGTGTTTTTTGATGACAAAGTAGCCTATAAATTTTTTAAGTTGTTCAGTTTTAAGGTATGTTACACAGTGTGTGTCAAATTGATACTAAAAATAAAGCAGCTGTTTTCTATGATGAAGAATGGCGCAACTTGATACAGCATATGTGGGGGGTCCTAAAACTGTAAAACAGTACTTCATTGTGTTATATACAATCTTAAAAATCATTTCTTTTATTATTTACAGAAATTATAATACAGAAATATTTTTAAGAAACTTATATAAATATAATACTAGGAGATCCAATTTTAATGCATAATAATTATGCCTAATAATGACATTTAAAACCATATCTTATCTGCATTTTTAAATGTGATGCCGATTAACATTATTTGGGTAATAATTATTTATTGTCTTTTTTTATAAGTTTAACACTATTTATTTATTTTTTTATTGATGCTCATAGATTTTACCAAGTTGGGTGGGGTACTATTTATATAATAATCTTACCTCTTGTCATTAAAAACTTACCTTAAAAATAATCTTTTTTGAATAATAATAACATTGAAAATAAACTTTAAATTTAACACAACAAAAATATTATACTATATCATTCAAAAAGTGAGCATATTTTTTCCTAAATTTTACATAAATTTGAAGATTTAATAAAATATAAAGTTAAAGATTTAGTCAACTTGAGTTTTTCAAAATACTCCGAAAATTTCAATAGGGTAACATTGTAGCAACTATGATTATCTGCTTTCCTAACTGCAATTTTTTCCTTAGTTTTGTAACACTGCAAACACCTTTTAACATTGTATTTTTGTCTTATTTAGGTATGTGATGACTGTTTCTGCATAAATTTTATGCTAAACCAGGCGAGAATACATATGCATCTAAATGATACTGAATGGTGCCTGACTTGCTCATTTTTGTGTCATTTTCTAAAATAAAAGTGGGATATCTAGTACAGCCAAATTTATAAACAAAAATACTTTTATAAAGGTGATTTGTTTATTTATAAAAAGTTTTGGTTTTTTAAAAGTGATTTGACTAATTTTTGACTAATAATACTTTATAAATATAAATATATAAAATTAGGTTTTGCTATTTTTAAAATCAAATGATTTAGTTGGACAGCCTATAAATTCGATATTTATATGAAAGTTTACAACACTGAAATAAACAATAAATAATGCATACATAGCGTTAAATAACTTTTTATAGCTTTTTTAATATGTTTAATCATGCAAAAGTGTTAATTATATAAAAAAGTTTTTTTATTTAAAATAAGTTTATTTCATAAATAATTTATTGTGACAGTTTTATTTAATTATGTTGTAAACTGTAGATAATACTTTTAGGTCTATTCTCAATTTTAAATTGGTCATAGTTGCACATTTTACTATAATGTCTGCAAATTAAATTGAATTCATACACTCATTGTCCAATATTAAGACATTTTTTTTGTTTTGTTTTAAGTTATAATTTATGGGGGTGTCTTAAAACCCAGTCCCATTTTTTTAGTTGTCACCTGAGCTATTCATACTCACTATAGCATTTGCATCTATCACTATCTGACACTCAGATAGCATTTGCAAAATTGTTGCTGGTATAAATTATTAGATAATTTGAAAATTGAAAAGCTTCACTTTAAGATGCGCATAATGCATTTTTACTAATAAAAAAAAATCAAGTTGGTTAAAAAAAATCATTACTTCAATTGCATTTTTAAAAACTAATACGATAAAATATTGGAAATAAATGAATTTTCTGATTAGTGCCAATATGTTTTGAGTATAAACTGTATAAAACTATAAACAGTTTTTTTCAATTAAAATTTTTAGTTTGACTTGTTTAACTTATTTAAGAACTTGATATATATTAAGTTTCTTCATAAGTAGGTTAATTAGGAAGCTATCTTCCTGATGAACCTACTGGTGGAGAAAAATGCTGTGAAGAAAATTATATATATATATATATATATATATATAATATATATATATATATATATATATATATATATATATATATATATATATATATATATATATATATATATATATATATATATATATAGTATATATGTTACTGTTACGCGTAGTAACATGAATTTTCTAAATGATAATGTTTATAATATAGTTTAATACTGCAACTCTGAGTTTAATGTGTTCCCACAATCATCAGGAAAGTAGTTAAAGTTTAATTTTGAGATTTGTTTAGTGGACTTCACAGTTTATATTTGTATTTTAGATCATTACGGTATAGAAATTGTTTAGTAGATTAATAATAGGTTAATAATAATGTTAATTTGCTTTTATTTAGCTAATAGTTGTGAAGTAGTTATTTATTTTAATGTTATTTAAAATATTTGCTTATGTGATAATGTGCATTATTTATATATTTTTAAAAAAATCTAAAATTAAAAAGTGATATAAAAATATATATAATATTATGAAATATATTATATATATTTTTGTATCAATTAGCCTAAAGATATAAGAAGTAGAGTAACATAGTTATTGATAGTTTTTAGTTAGGTTATATATAAGAAGTAGAGTAATATAAATATAAGTAGAGTAATATAAATATATAAGAAGTAGAGTAATATAAATATAAGAAGTAGAGTAACATAGTTATTGATAGTTTTTAGTTTAGTTATTGATAGTTTTTAGTTTGTAGCCAGCTTTGTAATTTTATAATAAGAATTTATTTTTGTAGAGGCTCTTTGATATAACTTTGGTTCTACTATTTAGCAGTTCCTCAGGTTTTGGGTACGATATAATAACAAATTTCTCATACAAACATAGTAGGCACCTTTTGGAAATATTTGAGTAGGAGGTTACAGACTTCAGAATAGGTCATGTTAGTTTAAGAGTTTCATAAAATTTTTTTTTCAAATCCCAGACGTAGTTTGAAATAGGATTTTAGTTACTTTTCTGAAAAAAAAATTAATTTTAACATTTTTAACAGAAACAAGTTAGCATTAGTAAAAAATAAAATATATATTTCAAATTTTTTTAAAATTGTCTTTTTAAGTGCGGGATTTTCAGGGGTAAAGAAACCTGGGTTTTTACTAAATCATTATATTAGATACAATAATTTCCACATTTCTTCATTTTTTTTGCATATTATCAAATAAATGATACATTTTGTAAATTAAAAATCAAGACAAGAAAAACAAAATGTTCGGATCATTGTTTTTGTGTGTCCCTAAAGATTGATTGATTAGACCATGTTATTATAGAGGTAGCTAGTTTTTTTATTTATTATAGATTTTCTACAATAAATAGACTTTCTAGAAGTGAAATAATATACTGGCTACCTCTGTAGTAACATATTGTAATATCGATTGATTGTAGTGAGTTTTATTAAATACTGGTTAGTTGATAAGTATAAAAAACAACACTAGACACAGATTGGTAAATTTATTCTAGAACAATAAGTTATAACTTCTCAGTTAAGAGTGGTATAATGTTTTTAAAATGTTTACTTTTAGTCTCAGCAAACTTTTGCTTGATGATTTTTCTCCAAGGTATATTTTTACAAGTAAAAATTTTCTTTTTTTCACGCTTTTATCACTTTATGCTGGTTACACAGTGAGTTTTAATATTTTTGAAAATCTGAATTTTTATTTGATAAAAATTTGTAGAAAAAGAAAAAAATTGTCTCTAACTTAGTTAGAAACATATTTTTCCTTTTGATGTTTCATATTTAGTAAGTAACTAAATATAA